CACCTGCCAAAGCTCCTCAAGAGAACAGTGTCAGTGCTGGGGAGAGTGAAATGGAAATCCTCAAATCTAAACTGGAGAAGGTGCGCAGCTTCCTGCTAGTGGATGAGAAGGAGGAAATGCAGGTAAGCACTTGTTGAGGTACTCGGCGTTTGATGGTGTTTTATTAATGATGCGTTACAACGATTGAGCTGATCTTGTCTGCATTCTCAGGTGAAGGATGAGGAGGACTTTGTCAGCAGACTGGGTTGTAGTCCAGATGAGCTCCTCAAGGTGGTCTCCATTTTTGGGAACACTGGTGAGGGAAAATCCTACACCCTGAACCATACGTTCTTTCTTGGGAGAGAAGTGTTCAAGACGTCTCCCACTCAGGAGTCCTGCACTGTGGGTGTTTGGGCAGCTATGGACCCTCTGCATCGGCTTGTAGTCATCGATACAGAGGGACTGCTTGGAGCTGGTATGAAATTATTGATTTACTTAATATTATGAAACAAACGGGGGTAGAAGCAGGCAGGCATTCATGATTCTTCTTTTTTTCTTTTTTTTAAACTCATCAGGGGCTAATCAGGGTCAGAGAACTCGGCTGCTCCTCAAGGTCCTGGCTATCTCTGATGTGGTAATCTACCGGACACACGCTGACCGTCTCCATGACGATCTCTTCAAGTTCCTTGGTGATGCATCAGATGCCTACCTGAAACATTTCACTAGAGAATTAAAGGCAACTACCAATCGCTGTGGTCTTGATGTACCGTTGTCCACCCTGGGCCCCGCGGTGATCATCTTCCACGAGACTGTCCACACCAATCTACTAGGATCAGGTACATCAAAGAAGTTTGTCTCATCTCAGTGTTTTTCAAAGATAAGCACACAAACCACTGCCTCAATACTTTGTCTCCATCTGTATGTGTACCCCGAATTTAGACGCGCCCTCAGAATCTGCTGAGCGCCTTATCCAGGAGCGTTTCAGGAAGCTGGGCTTATTTCCGGAAGCATTCAGCTCCATCCAGTACCGTGGGACTCGAACCTACAACCCTCCCACGGACTTCAGTGGTTTGCTCCGCAGCCTGGAGCAGCAGCTGGACAACAATACGACACGCTCGCCACGATCTGCCAGTGTCATCTTCAAGGCCCTGCAGGTAGCTGTGCTTACATTTAAGTATGTTTTGGCATAGCCAATGGAAATGTTTATACCTTTCCCATCTCCACCTGGGGCCTTCTTTCAGGCCCTGAGTGAGCGCTTCAGTGGGGAGATTCCAGATGAACATATGACCAGTAACTCCTTCTTTCCAGATGAATACTTTACCTGCTCCAGCATCTGCCTCAGTTGTGGGTGCGTGTCCCTGCTTTGCTAAAAAAAAAATCAAAAATACTTTAAATCAGATTTCTACAGCATCATCACTGCCAGTACCTTTTACTTTTACTTATTTATAAAACTTGCTGACTTGCTGGGCACCAACTTTCAGGTCAGGCTGTAAGAGGAGCATGAATCACCTAAAGGAAGGTCTTGACCATGAAGCCAAACATCGCTGCCGGTACTCTGCACAGTACGACAACCGCATCTACACATGCAAGGCAAGTACAAATATACATCTACGCCACATTTGAAGTATACCTGCTTGACAAGGTTCTGAGCAACTGTGCTGAACTTCTCAGGCCTGCTACGAAAGGGGAAAGGAAGTCATAGTGGTTCCCAAAACGACGGCCTCGTCTGACTCGCCGTGGTTTGGCTTGGCCATCTACGCTTGGTCAGGGTGAGTCCTGCGAGTATAGAATGATTTTTCATAAATATCTTCATATGTCCCTTTAAAGTTTATGAAAAATTGAGCACAGTTGATATAAAAAGTGTGTGGCACCTCTGGAATCTTTCCTCCCTGTGTTGAAACTGAGATGGTTTTGTCTTTTTACAGGTATGTCATTGAGTGTCCCAACTGTTCAGTGATCTACAGAAGCAGGCAGTACTGGTATGGAAACCAGGACCCAGTGGAAACAGTGGTCAGAACAGAAATCCAGCACATCTGGCCTGGGGTAAGGCCACGGTGAATTCACTTAAACCACTGAAATCTTAAAGCTCAGTTTTTGTTTTCTTTGAGTCATATGAATTTGGCCACTATGAGGTGAGTGGCTTATACTTTATGTAAATATCCAGAAAAGTAACGTCGCATGTTCTCCTGGAACATGTTGATCTAAGCATAATTAGTCACAAGTCTGAATATAGCAGTGCAAACGCCAGCTGGTAAGGCAGGCATTGTATTTCTGTCAGCACTGTTGTCAGTATTTAGTGATAATTGTGAGGGACGCTTGTATAAACACAACTTCTATGGCGTACTGTAATTATGTGTTTTTACACCGTTCTTTGCAGTCTGATGGCTTTTTGAAAGACAACAACAACGCTGCTCAGAGGTTGTTGGACGGAGTCAAATACATTTCTCAGTCTGTGTCTGAACTCAGCGTCAAGCCTGCCAAAGCGGTCACTTCCTGGCTCACTGACCAAATTGCTCCTGCCTACTGGAAACCCAATTCCCTCATCCTGGTATGCAACCAATATTTAGCTAACTATATATAAGGAATCACAGGCCCAGAATGTGTAGTTGTGAATGAAACATCACTTGTGTAACTAAAACATTTTCTTGGTGATAGCCCATGTTCCTGTTATGTTCCTGTTATGTTCCTGTTATGTTACTGTTATGCCGATAAATCGCATTACTTATTATTGTGCCGTAGAAATGTCATAAATGTGGGGAGGAGTTCCAGCCCAACGACACCAAGCACCACTGCCGTGCCTGCGGAGAGGGCTTCTGTGACGCCTGCTCCTCCAAAACCCGGCCGGTCCCTGAGAGGGGCTGGGGTCTTGCGCCTGTTAGGGTCTGTGATGCGTGTTTCCACAACAGAGGAATTCCAACTGGTACACAAATGAGTCTCTCTGTGGGAGTTTAAGAGTGCGGTATTGTTTGCCGGGCTGGTTCAGGCGGTTTTAATGTTCACAACATGATATGATTTGATGTGTGCATGTTGTAGAGTTGCTGGACGCTGCGTTGGAGGAGGAGGGAGGCACCCTGATAGCGAGGAAGGTTGGAGAGGCTGTCCAGAACACTTTGGGGGCTGTAGTTGGTGCCATCGATATACCTCTTGGTAAGCATAGGATCTAAAAAATAATATAGCGAGCAAGAGAAACAACTTTAAAAAAAGAGTGAGAGAAATAAAAACTTTTTTTCCAGGCCTAGTGAAGGACGCAGCTCGGCCGGCCTACTGGGTGCCAGATCAGGACATCCACTCTTGTTGCGAGTGCCAAAGGGAGTTCTCACCACGTCTCTCCATCCACCACTGTCGCGCCTGTGGGCAGGGCGTGTGCGATGACTGCTCCCAGGAGCGGCGCCCCGTGCCGTCCCGTGGATGGGACCACCCCGTGAGGGTCTGCAACGGCTGCAACCAGAAAACAGGGGAACTCTAGCAGGACTCAATGGAGCAATTAAAGATGCCAGCGTTTGTGGAAACTGGAATCTGCGACATCTTGAGTCTAACAGGTTTCATTGGGGGTATTTTTGTTTTTCTGGATGCCTCTAGACTGTACAGGTGGGACTCGTTTATTGTTTGTTAGTGCTGGCCTCATGTAACATCAGTCCATCGATCGCTTTTCTCTTTAATATGCCTATAATTTACACTGTGAAGACAGGCCAGAGCAAGGCTTGAATATTATAAGGACAGGAGAGAAAAAGAACAGAGAGATGATCAAAGTGAGTTTTGTACAAGCTTGCTTACAAATGACTTCAGGTAAATTTCCATGTTGCTCTGTAGATCCGTTCAGATTTGTATTCTTGCACACTAATCCCTGCACACCCTCTACGTGATATGCTAGTACCATTAGCTCCCTTTTGCCTGGTTTGGAGCTACATATTTAAGCCTTTTAAAAAATACAAGTACTGACCTGTTTTTTCTTTTTCATAGCATTTCCAGGTAATCATGTCTTATTAGTTCTAAAATGGTTTGTGCAGGTGACCTGGATGTAATATTTAGGACCAGCTTTAGATAGAACACCTCAAAAGTCATCAACCACATTGAATTCTGATCCCTTTCTTTTGAAATACTGAGGTAGATTACCTCTAATTCACCCCTGCTAGAGCTACTTTTCTTTCGTTTTGGCTTCACAGGGACTATATTAGATCATTATATCGGAAGCCACTGATGTACTGTAGCAGCAAGATGCATTCCAACATATATAATTCGTAATTACTACTTAAATAGTCCCATTGATTATTTGTGGTTGTTTGTGAATTTGAATGGGCAGATTTAAAACAAACAAAAACAAGAACAGCCTTAATAATGCTGTCCATGTTAACTGTTTGAATTCTACTTAGTATGCACAGTACATATATGGGGAAAAATGTTTACTTTAATAATTTTTTAATTGCCTCATTTTATTTTTAAATGTCATAACTGCGTATCAGGACAAATCTGACTAAGGTGGGATTCAATGCAACAGAAACTGCTTTATAGTGGCTGGATCACAGTAGGGACTTAACACAGTTGAGGTTTCAAACCATGTTTGGGGCTGGCCCCTCAAAACAGAGATCATTAGTAAGAGTAGTCTTTTACTGTCAGCTCAGGCTGCGTCGCTCTTCTTTGTCAGCAACTATCAAGGTTGCTTGTATTTCAACAGGACTGTACAGAGTATCTGACCCGATTACTATTAAATGAAGATGACACTTGATGCATTCAGGCTTTCTAATGAATATCTTGGTATTATGAGATTTGACTGTGTAAGATTTTTTTTTTGTTTGTTTCTTGTTAACGAACTGGAAGAGTTGGTTTGCTTGTGATCAATCAGATAAGCTGAAATAACAGACTTCAACATGAATAATAGATTTATCCTGTCTCAAACAGAGATCAATGACTATAGATATCACATGGAACCAATCAATACCTTGTATTTATGTATGCTCATACATATGTATTAAACAGTGGAATCTTAAGGTGTCTGTGTATGGGTTGAATACAATGCAGTGGGATAAGGTTTTTAATAAACTTTACTGGGAATCAACAAAGACTATAAAACATGTTGATTTAGTAAACAAAAAGTATCATCATTTTCAAATTTCAATCCCAGCACCCTTATTTCCAGTAACAATCAAGGTTAGCTGTGTTTAAAATAAGTGCACTTCTTCTGTAAAAAGAACAGTAAGGAAAACCGAACTGTACCGGTGTGCACATGTGAATGCAGCACTTCCATTTCCTTTTGGCACAAAAACACGATCATGTGTATGATGAGGCAACTCCCATGAAATTTAAAAGCAGTTCTTTGAGGTCACCACTTCAGTCTAAATTTAGTGTAAATGGTTGTCACATAACATCTTTACCCAGCCACACTCAAATACACAGTGATACAGCTGGCCTCAGCACTCCTCATTCTTGGTAGTCAGTGTTGTATGGGAAGTAATAGAGGTCGTGTTTGACAGCCATGAGCAGCCCGGGGAGGCCCCTGCTGCCACCCAGGTTAGATGAAAACACAACACTTGGGATCAAGTCGTTTGCGGCCGGGTGGGGTGATGGGATGGTTCTCAATAGATGACCGTCCTTAAGGCTCCATAACCTTGTGTAGCAATCCTGACCCACTGTAGAAAGGATGGTAAACATTGAAACTGCACGCAAAAAAGGTTTATACCAGTGTAGGGCTGCCACGATTAGTCGACTAGTCACGATTACGTCGACTATCAAAATCGTCGACGACTGATTTAATAGTCGACGCGTCGTTTGAAGCTTTGTAAGATCACAAAAGACGCAGGAATAAGTAGCAGGATTTAAGAGTGTAATAACGGACTGAAACAGAAGATGGCAGCACTGCATGTACAAGGATGTCAGCTGCCGTTAAACCCCGAAGAAGAAGTAGCTCTGTCCCAGAATTCATAGCGCAGCCCAGCTCAGTTTCCAACAATGGCGGTAGCTACTTAGTTTTACTATTACTCTTGTTATTCTTTATGGGTCACAAAATAAACATTTAACATATTTTCAGGCGAGAATGTAGCTGTGTAAACCTCAAATATCTGCTCAGTTTATCAAGACACCGCATATTTTCAAAAGCGCTCCGACGTTTTCGGAGACGTCTGTTACCCACTAGCTCGATAGCAAGCCGGGGGCTAGGCTAACTAGAGCCGTGAGAACACCGGACTCCCGGCAAATCGTTTTCAAACCCACCACCGTCTTTCGCTACTCAGGTTAAACATGATATATAAGTCACTTAGATAACTTAAAAATGTTATTGTTTGGCTTTTTTTGTATTTTATTTGTTCCTGAGTAAATCGGTTTGGCTGAGATTAAAGTTATAGTTTTTACACAGCTGAATAAAGTCAAGCAGACAACTGATTATCAGAAGTGTGAGATGCTCGAGAATATACTCCGGTGTCCTGTTATATTTTAGATAGCAAGGAGTTTATTAAACTTCACTGAAACAATCTGCAAATTTCATTCAAATTTAATAAACTATCATCTTGTCTTTCTTTATTTTTAGTTAGCACAGACCTTAAACACTTAAAGCTGTAAGGTAATGATAGTTATATAGACCAGATGCTGCTGGTGCAATAAGCTGTACGTTTTATGTCCAATGGATGATGATCTGATTAGTCGACTAATCGCAAAAATAATCGGTGACTAGTCGACTATCAAAATAATCGTTTGTGGCAGCCCTATACCAGTGAGAGTATTGAGTGTTAAGAGTGTTTTATCCTCTCCTACCTGCTAGCAAAAGCCCTTCACACTCATTGACATGGATGGGAAGGTAGGCATGCTCGTTATGATGACCTTTGTACTCCTGCACTGGCTTTGTGCCTCGCACATCCCACAGCTTAATCTGCAAAGAAATTAGAAAACACACAAAGGCTCAACAGAACTATCCTTGAATTATTACCTTTTTCAAATGATTCCTTTCTGATATTTTCTACCACAGTTTGTCAGTATGGCCTGATGGTTCTGTGTTTACCAAGTCTTTCCGCATGAGGCTAAAACATAAGTAAAATACCTGTAATTAAGAACCTGAAAGTATTATCTGCTGTAAAAAAAAAAAAAAGAAAATTAAAGAGTCAAGTCAAGAACCTGACCTGGCCCAGCATGTCAGCAGCCAGCAGGTAGTTCTCATCCTGCAGGACGCGTACAGAGGTGATGGCTGACTCTTGATGGAAGCGACTGGCCTTCCAGCTGTGATCTCTGCGGCCGCGCTGTCGGAGGTCGATGCTGAAGATCTCCCCCGATCTGCAACCGTTAAACAGGACAGGAACCTGTGGACGGAAAGGTGTTCTTTTGCTTGGTGTTCTTACAGAGTGCTTCAACAACTTTAAAGTTACAAATGCCTCACCCTAAGGGCAAACTGCTGAGCCAGGACATCACTGCCGACGCTGTACGTCTGTGTTCTGCCCGTCTCTGCATCCTTCACAATCACTCTACGAGACAGGCCTGTCAACACACACATAAACATGATTATTTTAGATGTGTAATTTTCTCCTTTCTATAACGACAAAAATGTTTAGCTGCACTACTAACCAGTGCTGAACGTCTTGTCAAACTGGGGGTTGAGGCACCAAGCACAAGACCAGGCTGAGGATATCTTAAAGCTGCACAGCATCCCAGGCTGATCTGAAGGAGTACAAGAAGTAAGAGGAGAAGGGTGTTGAGGGTAATGGGGAGGTACACAACAACAGCAAAACTGCTTTCAAAACATATTTCAAAATAAAAGTCTTCTAGAATAATAATTCCAAGACTGAAGAAGCTTCTTTGAATAGTATGTTTTACCATACTGCTACCTGGGTCCTTCACAAATGAACTACAGAAGGGCAATGTGACTGCTGCATATTGCGCAAGAACCCTGACAAACCTGGGTTGGAGTTGCTGAAGAGGGAAGCAGGAAGTAAACTCACGCAGCCAGGGGTGTCTGCTACTCCCACCAGACACAGCCTGATAGTTACTTCAGTCAAGGACATACAAGTTTCACCAAAACAGTGAAGAGATGACACGCTGTGACACAGGTGTGCACTTTATAGAGCTAAAATGTTACCATTTTGATGATAGTCACCAAGTGTATTCTTTTAGAAACAACAGCAGTATGAATCCACAAATAATGCAAATGAAAAGGACAACTTATAAGTGATCTTTGTTGCCAGGTTAAGCCCTTTATTTGAAGGTTAAGTGAACTAGAGTTAGAGCTCTAATTAAACTGTGGAAGGATACAACACATGAGAATCGGGGTAATTTACCGAAGCCCAGCAGATGGAATTGACCTGAAACATGTTAACCAGATCAGAGTGATTAATATTATTTAAACAGACCAAATGTTTGTAGACACATCATAAAAACAGGCTCCAAGATTAATGTGAGTTAATTAATTTTTATTTCCTGCAGTGTACTAAATAGAAACTACAAAAATGCAAACATATTCTTTGTATTCAGGGAGGGTCTTTTATCTCCAAAGAAATGCTCCTACCTTCCGATTAGTGAAGTAGAGGTTATCACACATTTCCACAGACAGAGACCCCTTGCTGCTGCTGCTGAAGTTCATGATGCCATACTTGCAGCCGCCATGAGAGACATCGTTGACTGTGAACACTCGCTCACACGCCGAATCCCCCTGAAAAAGAAATGGCAACAAAGAAACAAAGCATATGCACATCATCAAGTACAGATAGAGGCCATATTTAAAGGTAACCTACTGTGTTCATTTCCAGCAATTAAGAAAAAAAAAAAAGGACTCTAACGTCAATGTTTAACATTCAAAACAATCTTTTTTGTTGTTGTTGTTGTTTTTTTTTGTTTTTTTTTAAATCATACACAGGGCCTTGGTGGACCCAAATCATCCTCTGGATGAAGCAAACTGTTCTTACTCCCTCTCCCTCCCTTGAAACCAACTATAACAAACATTTATTCTATTGAAACGTGTTTTGCACTGTGTTTGTGTGTGTTCTCACCACTATGAGTCTGAAGTTGTCGGTGTTTGAGATGCTGTTGTCTGTGCTCTGGATCTCTAGTTTGTGGCGTCTCATTTCACTGACCTTCACCTCATGGACGAGCCTGGAGACAAACAGTAAATGGCCTGTATTTGTATAGCGCTTTACTTAGTCCCTAAGGACCCCAAAGCGCTCTACACTACATTCAGTCATTCTCCCATTCACACACACAACAGTAACCATAGTAACAGACTAGCACTGTCTGCAGACAATCTACTAACCCAGGATAATTGATACACTTTTCTCTTAGCTTTCTGACAGTGTCTCTGTAGTAATTTATGTATTTATTTAGACAGTTTGCCTGTAGGATAAAAAGAACTAGAAACTTCCTCATATGCATTTCATTACTTTTTGTTTTTCCATTTATTCATATCATTCCCAGTGATGCAGAGTATTTTCTTTGACTGCATTTATGCATGTTTCTCCATCTTTTTATTACCATTTAAAATAACTTGTCTAAATATATTAGCATCATTATTAGTGGCCAGCAAAGCTCAGAAGAAAAGTCACTCTACACATGCAGAACTGATTAGCGTTAAAGTTTCTCTTTGTTTCCCATAATCCGTTACAGCTGTGGCTAGGACACGGGAAAAACAGTGTTATGTTGAGTTTTGCGTGCCTGCAGGGCTGTGACACAGTACCTGCAATAGGAGTGCTCAGGTAATACACCTAGATGTCGTTTCTGAAGTAGCAGCGAAGTGTTTAGTCCTCTTCTTGGTGCTTTCTGTAAATGACAAGGAAAATGTGCGTACATGTTTACGACCAAGGTTTCTTTCTTTACAACTTCTTAAACATTTATGTCCCGGATTGCAGAAAAGCATGTGCTTCTGCTAAGATCAACTGTGATCTCAAGTGTTTTATTCCTACACAGTTTGCAGTTGTGCTCTAATGCTGTACTGTGATGATGTCATTACAGCTGCTGCCATAGCCATAATCCTTTAGTACACTGCAGGAGGTTTATGGTAAGCTTTCATCTAGAGGGCATAACTTTAGCATATCAGATGACTGTGTCTGTCTACAGCAACAGGAAAAAGCTTAATGGAATCTTAAAGAATAAATATGATAAAAATGCTAAAAGACAAAGAAGATTAAAAAGATTTGCCTACCACCCTTGATGACAGACTTACTTTTCTTGTGTTTTCATCTTCTGCCAACATCTTGTTCCTCTCCTTCTCTCTTTCTTTTTGTTGTAGTTGCTCTCTGGTTAGTGGGTTACAGTTGTTGTGCCCGGGCAACAGCCGGAAGTAACGGTTTTTCTCTGGGTCAAAATAGAAACCTGGCAGCTCTGGCAGGAGAAAAGGAGGCAAAAATTAGGCTTGTGCATCTTTCATTGCATCTATTTGATTTTCCAAGTGTACAACAAGAATTTTCCTGTCAATATCCTTCTACTTTAAGTGCTCCTGGACAAGACACTGCATGTAAAACTACTGTTTATGTACATATGTGTTCAATTTAAGTGTTGTGCTCTTCTGATACCTTTAATAATAAGAAATGGGGGCTTCCAACGCAAACGTGTACTTTCAATGCTGTACGTTACTGACCTGGTGCAGCACTGCTGGCGTTAGAAGAAGACGAGGAAGGCAAGGAAGAAGAGGAATGTGAGGCAGGTTGGTTAGCATGGTGCTTCTGAGATGGTCTGTGTGAGGGCCCTGCATCATCACGTTCATACCTTTGAACAGGAAACGCACACACACAACAATGATACTGACATACTGATCACTGTCATTACAAACACTGTATTCTAGTATGGCACATGCTCCATACTTTAACGTGATATAAGTGTCATTTAACGTAGCTACCACTGCTGTCGGTTTCCTCGGTGCCATCCACGGCGCTGACCAGCACCTTGTCGCGTGTGCGGTCGCTGTCCTTCTCGCCAGTTCCACTTCCTCATTTCTTATGGTTCGGTCTAGAAGTAAAATGGTCCTGACGGCGTGTTGCTTTTCATTCACTTCTCTGTGTTTGGCAGTCCAGGTGTTTACAGGCAGATTACCATCAACACCGTTGGGCTAACGTTAGCTGCACATCTTTCTACACACGTTTTGACACGTTTGCTGGACATTCACCATCGATTAAAGTAAACGACGTATTTATAGGTCGATAAACAAACTTTGAGTTGATACTGTGCTGGGTTTACCTTCTTAATAACATGGCACTAACGTGAAAGTAAATAGTCACTAGCTAGCTAACTCCCGTGTAGTAACGTCCAGCCACGCCATCCCCGCCTCCACACGGCGTTCATTGGTCCATTGAGAACAATAATGTCTGACGTTCTAGACAGCTATTGGTGAGTTTCTCCGCGAGTAGAAAATTACTTTTATTTCACTGGATTCTCGGAAAAAGTTGGATATTGAAATACAAAATAAAGTGACTGTTCGACATATACACGCCCTTAACACTATATAATTTAAAGCGGCACTGACTTTAAATTACAAAAAAAAAAAATTAATGTTTGATATGTCGTTGGATTTATTTTCCAGCCGTTAAAACCTCAACCCCCCCCCCCCCCAAATAAATAAATAAATAAATAAAAATAAAAAAAACATTAGAAGTGAGACTGTAATAGTATCCCATGCTACATAGCATTCATGTTGTGGTTTTCAATGATAAGGCTAAATCAAGTTAATTTCATGGTGTTATCACAATCTGGGGTCTGGGGCATTCATTTTGACAGATTTATCTGAAGCCACGCCTAAAGTCCTGATGCTGGTGTTGTATTGGCAGGGAGCACAGCGCACAGGACCGCATTGGCTGTTTTTTTCTTCTTTTTTCTTTTTTTCATAAGGGTCCCAAACTACACCGAGATTTGGAATATTACGTTATAGTCCTACAGGAAGATGGCGACTGTCATTCATAATCCTTTGAAATCGTAAGTACATTTCTTTTTTGTTATTATTATTTTAACGAAATTACTGCATCGTGTAAGATGAATGTAACGAGCTATTATGACTGTATGGGGATTACACGCGCTTTTAAATAAGTCTAACATTTAACACCTTTAGTATATACTTGGGCAGTCTCCGTATCTTCAGGTACCGTTGCCTAGTTGCTGTATTGTGCAATACGAATATAAAAGCATGCACTTATGCACGGTGTGCGAACGGAAAACATCACCAGTCCGCGCGCAAGTGACTACATTCAGTTTCATTTATGCATAAAGTTGCGGACATTCCACTTTTAAAAATAAATAGAATTAAAAAAAACCTCGTCTGTCAGAAGTTTGCCTGCGCTCCTTGTCGGGGATATTTGTGTAGTTAATATAATGCAAGTACTGACACAAAGCTCCCACTGCGCGACTCGTGCTTGTCTGAGCCTGACAAGCTCACGCACAGCAGGTTATTACATTAACTTTAATTTGTGTGCGTGGAGGAATAAACTGCTTAAAGCCGATCTTGGCGGTTTGAAAATGCATTTGTAGAAAAATAATGTATATGAGCATGGGTTTAAAAAAAGGTTAATGGGATGTGATCCTAAGTAGAGTAAAGATTTAGGGGATAAAACCAACTTTCATTATATCACAGAATGCATGTCCCCCCCGCCCCTGCTGCTGGCTGACGGCAGATGTTTACCACTGGTCATGTGGAATGCGCAGTGTTTGACAGTTTCTTGTGCAAGAGGCAAGTGTTTTATTAATTTGAACGGAATGCTGCTGCGGGTCCCTTAAAATAGATTCTGAAATGATGCTCTTATTTTGTAGAGCTCTTTATTGTTGTTGTTTTTGTTGTTGTTGACAACCAGAAACATGTCATACATGGTTACTGTGTGGAGGGGGGGGGACTTAATGCTTCTGTGTTGTACCGAAACAGATTAGGCTGTAGGGAATGAAGGTATATGTGTTTGCTTTTGTGTGCATGTAGAGCAGCAGATTAGAGAGCGTCCCAGTATTTCAGTGTTTCGCTGGGTCCATCTGTTAACGGAGGTACACGTAAAAAAAAAAAAAAAAAAAGAAAAAGACAGGCTGATGCTGGGGCAGAGGGAGGGAGGGAGTCCCATCTGCCCTTTGCATGCAGCAGGGCTTTCTCAGATAGACACCCCCCACCAATCTAATATCTGCAAAAAAGGGAAAGCGATATGCATATGGACACAGGACCCCACCTACCACAACAGACATACTAGTATAAGCTCAGAGCAAAATATGAGAGGCAACTGTAATGAAAAGTGTATGTGAAGTGTAATGTGTTGGAATGTAAGACCCAATATCAAGTAACATGTGAGTTACAACCTTGGGAAGTAAAGTCGCGGTCTACGTTTTAGACAGAGTCTACTGTGTTTGAAACAAAAGGCCTTACTTCTGAGTCGTACTCAGGATGTGGCACGTTAATAATGCGCGCTCAGTGAGGACGTGGTAATAATCTAGCCTGCTCTCTTGTCAGTGCCCAGCTCTGACAGATGAATTATAACCATAAGGAACATGGCAGTAAATATGTCTGGCTTTGTGGACTCGCTCGCTCATGTTTAGCAATGCATATTTTCCTCGACTGACTCAAATTCTCATTTTCAAAAAGACTTTTGGTAATTGAATCCTGGGAGGCCGGGTGGGATAATGAGAAGCCGACATGAGAAGTATTCAAATAAGCGCTGCGATTCATATGTAGAGATGTGCATATCGCGCCTGTTACCTTCTTTCATTAGAGTTGGATTTGTAAATAAAAACCAAAGAGCTCAGGTGGGATGTGGATTGGTTGTGTTTGCACAAGGATTGAGAGAACTTGAACTCAGATTAGAGGAAATGTAAGAGAGATGTAGGGTTGTCAGTGTGTTTGGGGTCGTGGATTTTTATTGTGGGGTTTTTGGTTTTTTTTGCATGTCTGCGTAGACGTGCGCCCCTCCCCCAGTTCTTGTGAGAGGGAGCGTGAGTGAGTGATGGAGGTGGGTGGAGGGGTGTCTGTCTGGCTGCATTTAGTCCTGCTGCATACATTTATACTACACTCTGAGCGCTGGGTTGAACCCTGGCCTTTGTCTATCCGAGCTCAGGGAATGGGAATAGAATGGTTTCCAGGCACAGACAATTAAATGGACAGGAACATTTTTTTTTAAATGGAAACCTCCAAGCAGTGATCAATGCTTTATCTTTTTTTCCATGTTCTGCACATGGAAACATTTTTCTCTCTCTATGGGTATATGTGAGACTTTGGAGAGCTGAGAGATAAGCATGTGGTATCCTTTACAATACAAAATAGAATCTTTTATGTTGGACAAACATTTTATCCTCCACATTTCCTCCAGTAATGCTCATGCTGAGTTGAAATGACGTATGGGTCAAGCCATGTCTACACCTTCCACTCCTTCACCTCTCCTGACTTCTGGTGTCTCTGGTCCTCCACCCATCCCTCAGCAAAACAACAGCAAGAGCATCTAATTCAGGGTTTCCCCCCTTCTGCAACACCCTTTCCTCTTCAGCTGTTTGCCCTGCCTCTCTCCTTCTTCCCTCCACCTCAGACTGCACTTTGCACCTTTCCCTTTTACTCCCTTTGTGTGTCTGTTTGCGTACAGGCAGGAGTGTGTGAGTGTGTGTGCATGAATGTGCTCGTGTGTACGGTCATTTGTGTGTTTGGGAGAAAAATGAGTGTGACAGGATTTGAAAGGGAACACGTGTGCCCCAGGACATATCGAATCCCCACCCTGTACCCCGCCACCCCCTTTCCCTCCCATTCTGCCTCCTTGGCCCCTCCTCCTCCGTCTCCCTTCTCTATGCTTCACACTGCTCGACCTACAAAGTGCTACACAAAGAAGCCGATCAGTACCCACATGCTGTTGCCCCGCTTCACACATCCCCCTAGGGCTCCTACTTACTCCTATACTGGATTTGATCTCCTCTGACCATCTTTTGCTCAATATGTGGTTAACCTCCAGCATTCCCTAATGCTATTAACTTTCCTTCGAGATGCTGTGTATATGTTGTACTGTCCAGCACAGTCTATTAGAAAGATGCATCTGTGTAATGTTACAGAGATCATCCTAATTACTGTATTGTGAAAGCATTGCCCATACAGCTTTCCATTACCTCTGACTTGCGTCCAGGCACACAACATTTAAACAGTTCTGCATGTTTCAGGGCTCCACCTCTAAAGTATTTGACACAGTCTCTTTTGCAGGATTGTTCAGTTTTCCTGTAACTCAAGACTTTTATCTATTGAACTGCAAATGCCACAACTGTACTGTACTGCGAAGTGGAAAAAATATTTCAGAAAACATGCCATACTGTTATAGTCCATGACATAAGTCATCATTTAATTACCAATCAGTGAATATACTGCTCCAATACAGTACAGAAGCTGCTCATTTAAACTATAATTAACAAAAAACAACAATAAAAACAAAAATTGCATGCCATGGTCTGTATTGATGAACCGCTTATACTCCTATATGTGAATAACAGTATTGGGTCACCTGTACACGACACCTGCTTGACCATGGAAAGCCTGCCGTGAAGCTACCAGTGCACAGTCTTTGTGATGATGTTAATGTCAGATAAGGTCTGAAACTCTGAATTTACTGAGTGAGCAGATTGTTGGTAACTTACCGTATGAGCCTCATCAGTCGATGACCTCGCTCTGTAACATTACATCAGGGGTCGGCAACCTTTCTGATGATGAGTGCCATCTAAAATCTCCTCAGAAGTCAATGTGCCATATGATTGCATTAGCAATAAATTTAATAACGCTCTATATTAACAGTTACAGACTATATAGAAAAACTTTATAGAATGATATTTGTTCGCAGATGTTTGCAGCTATCAGCAAAAAGTTATCAGCTATTTTGAAACAAAAAAAAGACACTTTTTTATCCATAACAAGAATTCAAATGAACTGTAAAACAGAAAATGCAAATGCTATTTATGGTCTCCTCACAACAATGATAAGAAAAATAACATGTGTATCTCTGTTAATACAGAGACACACATGTTAATGTGATCTATCCTCTCCCACTCAGAGGCACAGGTCCCCGAGTGTCCAGCATTCAGATGGCTACCTGAGGACACTCTTCGTGTGAGAGAAAATCTGCTCACACAGATATGTAGAGCCAAATACTGTCAATAAGGCCTCTGTAATTTTCTAAAGACAGTTAAACTTGTCAGGTAGTGATGTCCAGCAGGTGAAAATGCAAGCTCCATGAACACGCACAGCTGTGGATTCCAGTATTGTTGGTATATGTATGATTTCTATACATTTTACGTCAGATAAAAACTTTGGTTGTAAGATTCAGATAATTATTTAATAAAAGCTAGACACTTTAAATGAGAATAAGAAAGAAAAGTATTTCTTTGTGCCCCACTTTCCCTGTTTGTGCCCTACCTGGAGCCCTGGCAAAACTTTTCTAGACCCGCCCCTGCACAATTACCAGCTGTCAGCTAAATAGAAAAGGATCCTGGTGTTATTTGTCTCTCAGAAACAGTTCATAACTTCCCTTCAACTCATTCATGTCACCTAAAAGGTAAACCTGTTTCTCCATCACCTGTCCAGCTCTGATGATTCAGTAAGGACATCTCCTGGTTTCATCTTCATGTTTCCCTCTCACCACATATCCAAACCGATATCATGACCAGAAGCTTTACGGCTGTGGCTCCAACAAACATCAGCTGATACTAGAAATTAATATTAAATCAATTCTAACAACAGCTGATCAAGCTTAAACGTGCTGCTGAAAAGACACAGAATAACTCCAGCTTTGTGTCTTTTCTTTCATTCTAGCTGAAGTCCAGGACAAACTGTGTTCCTTTTCAGCTCAATACGAAATGGGTAATATTTTCTCTGAATATGTGATGATTCTGTTTTTTACAGGACGGTTGGCAACTCTACTAACTAACCTTATGAATAAAATAAAGTTCACTATCAGTAACATCATAGCACCCACCCAGGTGTATAGAAACTCCGTCATGCTAGCTAGCACACAGTACGAGTTATTGTAACTGACTGTAAAGTCAGCACAACGAAAATAAACTACACCTAAACTTGGTCTATATCTGACCCAGATAGACTGCAGGTCATAACTTCTTACCCAAAGTTCAGTTCACCTGACACTCGGACCTGCCTCCCATTTCCCCTCATCCACTTGCTGGCCTCTGGGAGCTGCGCCATAGCCACCACCAAACAACTGAGTTATTTTTACACACCGGCCAGCATCTGGCCAATCCACCACCTTTCATTGTTTATACCATTACCGTTACATCTTGCCTGATGGCCAGTCCAGCTTGTGCCATCAGTTAACCCTTGGCGTGTCAGCTGTGGCAGGCGTGCAGGGTTGCCGACCCCTGCTTTACATGGTCTGCCACTTCATGCTGTGGTTGAGTTGCTGTGTTCCTTAACACTTCCACTTTGCAATGTTACATGCTACTACAGCACCACGCTCAGATTCAGTAAACTCTTTATTCTTTCAGTAATGTTTGTGGATAGGTGTGTGATTTTATACCTGTGGCAACTGGACTGAAAATGCCAGAAATCAAAGATTAAAAGGTGTAGCCCAATACTTTTGTCCATATAGTGTGTACTAAAAACCTGGCCTTGATGGCCTTGATGACTGATATCCGCCCAGTTTATAAACTAGTGTGATAAAGAGCTGCCTACATCTCAAAATTCCAAATAACTGTAGTGAAAGAGCAACAGTTTAATCTGCTATGCATTCACACCTGCAAACATGCCTGCCCCCAGACACACAAACGCTCCGTCCAAAAGCAGGCTCAGACAGTTTAATATGCTGTAATTAGGGTCTCATTTTGTGGTTAAGAATTGGAACTATATTAGTCGGTGCTTGCTGGAGTTCACCTACAAAAATAATTTTTGCATGTTAGCAGATGCAATAATTTCTCATATTTGTGTTCAGAAGAAAATCAGCCCATTAATTTTACCATCCATTTTCTTCCACCTGTCCAAAACAGAATTGCGGGAAGGGGGCCTATCCCAGCTGTCATAGGGCAAGAGGTGGGGTACACCCTGGACAGACTGTCAGTCTATGGCACATGACACTTTTCTTATTTTATGTGACCATTCATAATGTCGTTTTGTGAGTTTATTTATTGCGAAAAATTGTTAAACTAAGCACTAAAGTGCTTTTAACTTTTACAAGCCAGTATAACTCACCCTTGTTAAATTAATGCAACTTAACAATTAAGCTTAAAGTTGAATCAGATGACCCTGAACCATCCCGTAGTTATGCTGCAGGGGCATAGGCCTAGGCTGTTGGGGGCTTCCCATGATGCACTGAGCACTTCTTCTTCGCTTATCTGTTTTCACTCTGTGTGTTTATATACCACTACTGCATTTAATCATTAGTTATTATTAAACTCTTGCTCTGTTTCTCATAGTGTGTCTTTTGTCCTGTCTCTCTGCTGTCTTCTCTTTCCCCTCACCACCAAGTGGTCGCGGCAGATGGTTGCCCATCCCTGAGCCATGAGTTTCTTCCTGTTAAAAGGGAGTTTGTCAGGTTTCGTAGATCGGACTCACGCGCAGACCACTAGTGTCTTCAAAAGGTGCATTTATTTACAGTGTTTCCTACAGTGGAATTCATATATACACATAATAGTGTCAAAGGAAAAAGGGGCCGGGGTTCCAGGGTCCAGGAGTGAAAGAGGCAGGAGTCCAGGAAGGGAAAGTTTCCATTCAGTCCTAGCACATCTCCTCTCCTTTATCTCTCTTGCTCCCGTTCAGTCGCCAGGCACAGGGGAAGAACAAGTCCAGAGGCAATCTATGCACAGGCAGAAAAAAAACCATTAGTCTCCTGGTTCAGACATGCTCATAAACTGACTTTACAAAATACAGGACGACTGACGCTGATGACTCAACGATCCAGCGACGAGTAGAGCAGACTCGCCCTCTTAAGAAGGGTTCCAATCTTTCATGATCAGCGACAGATGTGCTGATCACCTCCAGGTGCGTAGGCCAGGGGCAGGAGCCCATACTGAGCTCCGCCCCGGCAGGAGAAAGAGAGAATGGAAGAGGGCGAGAGAGAAAGGGAGAGCAGAGGTGAGAGAGAAAGGTAAACAAAAACAAAACACCTGACGGCTGTCAGCTGACGAGGAGCGGAGACCATGACAGTACCCCCCCCTCAATGGGAGCCTCCCCGCGACCCACCAGGCTTGTCCGGATGCAGGCGGTGAAACTCCCGGAGCATGGGCACATCCAGAACGGCCGCCCGAGGGACCCAGGAGCGCTCCTCCACGCCATAACCCTCCCAGTCAACCAGATACTGACAGCCACGCCCACGGCGCCGAGAGTCCATGATGCGAGTGATGGAGTAGGCCGGCAAGCCATCCACGAGCCGGGCGGGAGGAGGGGCCTGGAAGGAGGGCACAGAGGACTAGACCGGACAGGTTTGAGTTGTGAAACATGGAAAACATCATGGATTCTCATATTGCGAGGGAGTTTCAACTTCACAGAGACAGGATTGACCAAGGCGGAGATTTCAAAAGGGCCAATGAAGGTGGGTGTAAGTTTCTTAGATTCAGTCCTGACCGGAACAAAGCGGGTAGAAAGCCATACCTTCTGGCCGACAGAGTATTCGGGTGCTGGAGTCCGGTGCCGGTCTGCGATGCGTTTATTGTTCTCCTTCGTGCGCAGTAGGGCCGCTTGAGTTGCCCGCCAAACTCTGCGACACCTGCGCAGATGAGCCTGGACGGAGGGTACAGAGTGCTCACCTTCCACAGCAGGAAAAAGAGGAGGCTGATATCCCAAGGAAGCTTCGAATGGAGACCGGCCGGTGGCAGAGGCAGTCAAGCTGTTATGGGCGTACTCGATCCACGGCAACTCCTCACTCCAGATGGTTTGATTGGTGGAGGCGACGCAGCGCAGGGCGGTCTCCAGTTCTTGGTTGGCCCGCTCGGATTGGCCGTTGCTCTGAGGATGATAACCCGAGGATAGACTGACCTTTGCGCCCAGGGAGTTGCAGAACTCTTTCCAGACCCGAGAAGTAAATTGAGGCCCTCTGTCGGACACTATGTCTTCCGGGATCCCATGCAGGCGGAAGACGTGAGTGGCGAGTAGGCGTGCGGTCTCTAGAGCTGTGGGAAGCTTAGGCAGAGCAATGAAATGAGCCACTTTAGAGAAACGATCGATTATGGTGAGAATGACAGTGTTACCTGCTGATGGAGGTAACCCAGTGATGAAGTCCAGTGCTATGTGAGACCATGGCCTGGAAGGAGTGGATAACGGATGGAGCTGACCCGCCGGGGGTTGGTTCGATGGTTTGTTTCGGGCACAGACCGTACAAGCAGTGACGTATTCCCGAGTATCTTGGGTGAGTGAGGGCCACCAGAAGTACCGCTGGAGAAACTTGACAGTGCGATGTATCCCTGGGTGGCATGAGAACCGGGCCGTGTGAGCCCATTGCAGAACCTGGGATCTGACAGAGCGTGGAACATAGAGTCGGTGGACGGGCCCCCCTCCCGGATCCGGTTCGGCTATCTGAGCCGCCCGGATGGCCGCCTCGATCTCCCAGGTGATGACCCCAATAGTACAGGTTGCCGGCAGAATGGAATCCGGATCCGCCTTTTCGTCAGCAGCGGAAAACTGACGGGAGAGAGCGTCCGGCTTGACATTTCGGGAACCGGGTCTGTAGGTGATTGAGAAGTGAAAACGGGTGAAAAACAGGGCCCATCTGGCCTGTCGAGCGTTGAGACGTTTCGCCGTTTGAAGGTAGGCCAGGTTTTTGTGATCGGTCCAGACCACGAAGGGTTGAGTGGTGCCCTCCAGCCAATGCCGCCATTCTTCCAGGGCGAGCTTAATCGCCAAGAGCTCCCGATCGCCCACGTCGTAGTTACGTTCTGCAGGGGTGAGACGGCGGGAAAAATAGGCACAAGGGTGCATCTTACCTTCCCTCTGTTGGGAAAGGACGGCCCCCACCCCTGAGTCGGATGCGTCGACCTCTACCACGAACTGAAAAGTGGTATCAGGTTGGACCAGGATGGGCGCTGAAGCAAACCGTTTCTTGAGCTCCTGAAAGGCTGATTGGACAGCGTCACTCCACTGAAAAGCAAGCTTGGGAGAGGTTAACTGAGTTAATGGTAAGGCAATCCTGCTAAAGTCCCGTATGAATCTCCTGTAGAAGTTAGCGAAGCCAAGGAAGCGTTGCAACTGGCGACGGTTGTTTGGTTCTGGCCAGTTCACAACAGCCTTGACTTTCACAGGGTCGGGTCGAAGATCTCCCCGCTCGATTATGTACCCTAGGAAGGCAACCGAGGGCACATGAAACTCACATTTCTCGCTTTTGACGAACAGCCGGTTCTCCAGAAGGCGTTGCAGCACCAGCCGGACCTGGGTCTCGTGTTCCGCCTGGGAGGAAGAGAAGATCAGAATGTCGTCTAGATAGACAAACACAAATCGGTTAATAAAGTCCCTTAGAACATCATTGACCAGAGCCTGGAATACTGCAGGTGCGTTAGTGAGGCCGAACGGCATGACCAGATACTCAAAATGTCCAAGGTGGGTATTAAACGCCGTCTTCCATTCATCGCCATCCCGAATCCGGACCAGGTGGTAAGCGTTTCTCAAGTCCAGCTTGCTGAAAATGACGGCGCCCTGGAGAAGTTCGAAAGCGGAGGTGAGCAGAGGCAGTGGATATTTATTCTTGACCGTAATGTTATTGAGTCCCCGAAAGTCAATACAAGGTCTGAGGGTCTTATCCTTCTTTTCCACAAAGAAGAAACCTGCTGCGACGGGTGAGGAAGAGGCCCGGATAATGCCGGCAGCGAGAGATTCAGTTATATATTTCTCCATAGCCTCCCGTTCCGGCAGCGAGAGGCTATAGAGGCGGCTGGTTGGTAAGGGAGCTCCCGGCAGAAGGTCTATGGCGCAGTCATAGGGCCGATGGGGTGGCAGCGACTGGGCTCGGTCCTTCCGAAACACCTCAGCGAGATCGTGGTAAACAGACGGCACATCTGCTAAGTCGGAAGACCGCGGTGGCTCTGGGCCGGTGACAGATTTGTTAGGAGGTACGGCAGCCTTAAGGCAAGTCATATGACACTCCTCTCCCCAGCCCGTAATGCCTCCTTTCTGCCAATTAATCGTGGGGTTGTGTTGCTGGAGCCAGGGATGACCGAGAACTAACGGCGTCTGAGTGGAGTGAAAAACAAAAAAACTAATCTCCTCCGAATGATTGCCAGACAGTGTGAGGGTGAGCGGTTCAGTGATGTGTGTGATGTCTGGGAGGCGCTGCCCTGATAAAGCCGTGATGCGTAAGACGTGGGGTAGTGACTCCACAGTCACACAGAGTCGTTTAGCTAGTTCAGAGTCAATGAAATTTTGTTCTGCTCCAGAATCAATAAGCACAGAAAGTGAATGACACTCGGAATGGACCAGAAGCTTAGCCGGCAGGGCTAAACGTGGAGGAGATTTATCCTGATTCAAACCGCCCACCAGTACTCCTACCATCACTGGCGGGCGCGGCCTTTTGCTCGCGACGGACAGGAGGCAATCATGTGTCCCTTATTACCACAATACAGACACTCACCGGCCGTGATGCGTCGCTGACGTTCTGCAGCAGTTAGGTGAGAGCTGCCGATTTGCATGGGCTGTACCTCTCCGTCGGCGCCCCCTGATGTCCGGGAGGACCGGTAAATCGGCCGAAGCCTCCGCCCATCGCGGCCCTGCGGCCTCCTGGGAACTGGAGTTCCGTGCTTGCCTACGAGCTCGTAGCCGCTCATCCACCTTAATACATAACGACATCAATTCGTCAAAAGCAGTGGGTAGGTCCCGCATAATCAATTCATCTTTCAGATCTTCCCGGATGTTATTTAACAATGTGCTCCTGAGCGCATCCGGTCCCCAGCCGGTTTCTTCTGCCAAAATCCAAAAGTCGATTGAATAATCTGCCATACTCCGCTTACCTTGCTTAAAGTTAAGGAGGCGGAGCGCCGCAGCCTCGACTCCAGAGCCCTGATTAAACACAGTCTTAAAGTTAATCACAAACCTCTCAAAAGAGATCTCCGGGTTGGAGTTTAACACGACCTGGGCCCATTTCAAAGCCCGGTCACGAAGCATCTGTACCAAGAACGCAATCTTTGCCCCGTCATTGTTATGAAAACGCCGCTGTTCGCGGAAAATCAATGAACACTGGGCCAGAAAGCCAGAGCACTTCTCTGTCTCCCCTGAAAAGGGCTCAGGCGAAGGCAGAGGACCGTCCGAGGATGGGGTGGCTGCCGATGAGGGACCGGCCGTAGCCGCCGCGAGTGTCTCCTGCTGGGCAGGGCGAGGCGGCTGGGAGGTCCCTGGCTGTACTCCCCCTGGCGTAGTCAAACCGGAAACAGCTTGAGTTAGTGCAGCGATCTCACCTCGCAGCTGATGTAACATTTGTTCGTGGCGAGTCAGCGCCGCTTCTTGGGCAGCCAGTGCCTGACCGATGGTATTCTGATCTGCTGAGTCCATGTTGTGGCTGGATCGTTCTGTCAAGTTTCGTAGATCGGACTCACGCGCAGACCACTAGTGTCTTCAAAAGGTGCATTTATTTACAGTGTTTCCTACAGTGGAATTCATATATACACATAATAGTGTCAAAGGGAAAAGGGGCCGGGGTTCCAGGGTCCAGGAGTGAAAGAGGCAGGAGTCCAGGAAGGGAAAGTTTCCATTCAGTCCTAGCACATCTCCTCTCCTTTATCTCTCTTGCTCCCGTTCAGTCGCCAGGCACAGGGGAAGAACAAGTCTAGAGGCAATCTATGCACAGGCAGAAAAAAAACCATTAGTCTCCTGGTTCAGACATGCTCATAAACTGACTTTACAAAATACAGGACGACTGACGCTGATGACTCAACGATCCAGCGACGAGTAGAGCAGACTCGCCCTCTTAAGAAGGGTTCCAATCTTTCATGATCAGCGACAGATGTGCTGATCACCTCCAGGTGCGTAGGCCAGGGGCAGGAGCCCATACTGAGCTCCGCCCCGGCAGGAGAAAGAGAGAATGGAAGAGGGCGAGAGAGAAAGGGAGAGCAGAGGTGAGAGAGAAAGGTAAACAAAAACAAAACACCTGACGGCTGTCAGCTGACGAGGAGCGGAGACCATGACAGAGTTTTTCCTTCTCGCTGTCACCAAGTGCTTCCTCATAGGTGGTCGTGTGATTGTTGTTGTGAATTGGCACCATATAAATAAAATAGAATAGAATTTATTTTTTCAAGTCAACAGGTTTGGATAATAAGTAAAGGCAGTTTATCACACATGGGAACGAAAGTGTTAAATGTTCACATTTGAGAACACAGGTCTAAATTTTGGGGGCCAATTTTTTTTCTTTTTGTGTTAAAAATGCAAAGACTATTAAAAACAAAGCAAATAATCGGCTGTGAGATACAGTAGCACATTATAGCAAACTGAGATGGGATCAAAACACCAAGAAAACAGAGAGTCTTGAGAGATTAACACAAATGTGAAGAGACGGATGACAGTGATTTATTTTGCTGTTGATGAGTTCTTTCAGTGGCTAAATATTCAATTCACCGAGGAGGAAGAGAAAGTGACAGATACGAGTAAGACTGATGAAGAGAAATGACAGGAGATATCCAAACACAAAGGCTGATTAATGGAGCCTCCACTCCCCTTGGCTAAGGACTGAGTACCACATTAAATATTCATAACGTTCATTAGCCCTTTTTGGACTTCCTTCTTTAGCATGTGTGCGTGTCAGACCCTGTTTGCTCGCCTTGAGCTGAATGCAAATGAAATTAGCCCCTCAACTGTTCAATGATGTCTCCCTTTAACTGTGATACATCATTAATGGGTACCTGTGAGGGCAATAGCCCCTGATGTCCAAACACAGAACAAAGGATGGGATTGAAATGTTCTTTACCTCTGTAAGCTTTTACCGATAGACCTACCTGCGCCTATAGGTATAGAATGAAATAGTGATCCAAGACCAATGAAACCTATACTGACTGTTGTATACACAGCTCTTTTGTGCCAGCATGGAATGAGCTGAAACAGTCGTAGTGGTGCACACAGACACAAAAACACACTTAACAACTGCAGATTCCATCAGTATCCAGGAAGCTGGTGTCCAAGAGGAATGCGTTCCCTGACATGCAAAACTCGCCTTACATAAGCTCCATCACTGCACTCAGCCATACAGTTAACTCACGGTTGGAGCACAGAGCAATTGAGGATAGTCAAATCAAGTTTGGGTAAGAATGTCTCAGGACACGCAAGCCGCAGACAGAAGTCTCGGAGGCATCCTCATACACTATTTACTCTCACGTAATGAATACAACACACAGACAAATGCACAGCAGGCAAACGAGCTGTGCACGAACACTCACTTACGTAAGAGTTTATGAAGCCGCCCGGGGAGGTTATGCAGACGCTTTGTTGTCGGAAACGGGACAGAAACGTACAGGCAATATGGGATGACACGGGGGAGGGAAAAAAATATGAGGGAGGAAGGATGAGGAGAAATACCCGTAGGTACACACACACACACACACACACACACACACACACACACACACACACACACAATTCAATCTAGCCAACTGATAGTGACAGCAGAGATAACACTTTACCTCTGGGAACATGAGTTATGTGACAGGAAGTCTCTTCTGGAGATTTGGATTTGAGTGGATCACTGTGACTGCTGGTCTCATACTGTAAAAACACGTGTCACAAAAAGCACCAGCTGCATCCCTCATTTCTGGAGGTCTCTGCACAAAAACCTTAGTCAACATGAAGAGAATTATTCCTGATATAAACGAATTCCAGTCCACAGTCACCAGCAGATTTGAGTTAGAGAAATCTATAACACAAACAGCAGTTTGACTTATATTTGTGGACTTATGGGTATCACTTGTTGGACTGTTTATTGCCTGGTAGCAATCTTGGAGTTTCTGCTGGCTGCCTGTTTCTGAAAGGAGCTGCTTCTCTCTGACATTAATCCAAAGTAATTTTTGTAGCACTGTGGATTAGATTAAATATACTTTTGATAACAATTAATTCTCTGTCAGTGCGCCCCAGGGTGGCTGTGGCTACAATGTAGCTTGCCATCACCAGTGTGTGAATGTGTGTGTGAATGGGTGGATGACTGGATGTGTAAAGCGCTTTGGGGTCCTTAGGGACTAGTAAAGCGCTATACAAATACAGGCCATTTTACAATTCACAGTGAGCTTTGATGGGATTTCAGTGGCATTTCTGCAATTATCATTCCTTAATAACACGAATAACTAGAGTTAAATGTGATGATTTACCTGAAGTGCGTGTGTCAGGCAGTGCTGTGCATCCAGATATAGGACACAACAGTCCTTTGTATGTTTCCAGACATGTGATATGTTTTCCACTAGGACTTTTTGCCTCCCATAAAAAGCCATTTCTGTTACTGCATTTACATTCTACAAAACTATACCCTCTAAAGATAATTGTTGGGCTAAATTTTGAGAGCCAAAAAGGTCACCAAGCAATTAAAGGTACAGATTTGCATGATTCCTTCTACACTGTGACGTGTGGTCAAACCCAGTAAAGAGGGTTCTGGGTTTAGACGAGCCTTTGTTCTCCCTGCAGATGCAACATGTGGGGAGTAAAACAAGGAAAACATCCTTGTCCAGATGCACCAGTATAGCCAAAGTTGAGGTTCACATTTAACAAATATGAAAAACATGCAGCTGCCATTTGTTCTACACATGTCCGATTGTTCAGTTTTCTCTCTTCCTATTCCTATTTATGTCCTCTTTGCTCTTACAAAGTAGGCACCCCCTTCTTACTTCTTATGTGACACTCACCCCCTCTTTTCCTTCATCTTATGCATGCACTACCTGGTTCACGCTCCACTGCTAGTCACTCCACTTCTTACCCTTCTCCCTTCCCACTATCCATCCCTCCTTCCTTCACCCTCTGCAACCTCCATCTCCAAACACTGCACATCTTTGTGAGATTCAGTGTGACCAGAGAGCTGGTCTTTGTCCAGCTTGGCATTCTTTACATATCTGTGCGCAGTATCCACAGACCGCCCGTCTTAGCTTGGCCAGTCAGAGAGACGGGTGATAGGCAGCCAGATAGACTATGATATGTAAATAAACAGAAAAACTGACGCTGTTCTGCTGCTTTCGATATGTTCCAGCCTAGCAACAGAAAGTCCTTGTGGCATTATGGAAAACAACCTCCTTGACACTAATTATGCTGCATTGGATTAAATGATCAGGGATTTCATGCTAAACAGAAAAGTCTCTTTTACATGTGTCTCATTTAAGAAAGACTTAATCATTAAGGGAAGCAAATAAATCTTGGTTTGTTCTCTCTGACTCTAATGATCTTAGCTGCAGAAATCCTGCTGTGAGACTGGGACTGTGTAGGTTATTGATGGTTCACATCCTGATTTGTATCCTCTTATCAGTCGATGCACATCTGTCATCTACAAATTTGACAGCATGAAACATTTCATCTCCTAATCATTTCCTGTTATATTTGTCCTCACTGTTCTAATGCCAATCACTTTCAGTTCAGCTGCCTTTATGCTGTAAAGCCAGAACAAGTTTTTGTATTATGCTAACACCCAGCTGATATCCAATTTATACTAGTGGCGTTAAAGATCCACAAATGTTAGCATTTAGTTAATAAGATATAAACAGTTGTTGTGAGTGACTCAGTAGCCACATATAATGCATTTAATTCAGATGTTGAATGAATGGGGCAGTTGATATAGAAGTTAATGCTAACAAACCTGATGGATTACACTGGAATCAAAGCTGTGTGTGCCTGTTTTCCTAACATGTTCTTCGTGTTTCTCTGTGGACAGGCTTGGCGACCAGTTCTACAAGGAGGCCATCGAACACTGTAGGAACTACAATGCCCGACTCTGTGCAGAGCGCAGCGTGCGCATGCCCTTCTTGGACTCACAAACCGGTGTGGCACAGAACAACTGTTACATCTGGATGGAAAAGCACCAACGTCAGCCAGGTGAGAAACACCGCAAAGGTTGAAAAATGTAGCAAAAGTTATTCATTCATTAAGTCTGCATTTGGAGATATCTGCATTTTTTTGCTTCAGGGAGATGATTGATGTCACTCTCGTTTAAAAATTCAACATAAGGCTACAGCTACTGGCTGCAGCACTGAATGCAAACAGTAGTAAAAATGTAAACTTCTAATCTGTACTGCCACTAGTGTGGATTTTTTTAGTCACTAAATACAGTATGTCATATGTAAAGACCTGATCAGGCTCTATTCACGAATAAAAAAATAAAAATCATTCTTGAGTAGGTGCACCATTTAACTCACTGGGTTAAACAAATAACCCATATGCCATGAGGCTAACGCAGCAGCCCAGACTTGAAACCGCCCCAGGCCATTTGGTGCATGTCTTCCTCTTACTAAAATAAATCAACTAAAAAAATATCTTGAATAAAGTACCTGGGCTATGGTTATACCTCTATAGCTACAAGTTGGCAGATATTAGAGCCCAACCAATTTATCAATGAGCCAATATTTTCGGCTGATATTAGCCTTGGTCTGATCTATCAGTACTGACATTTTTACCATCTGATAAATGAATACTTCAAAAAGTGAACAGACAGGAGAAACGGCTTTTATTTTGCATAGTTTGTCCAGAGGGCGCTCTGCAACATCCCTATCAGGCTCTCAGCAGACTGGGCAGTCACATTTCCCTAACAAATGTTAAGGAAATCTGTTCTTGTTTTGTGTGTCTGAAAGAAAAAAATATCGACCAACATATCAGATTATTGGATTTTTAAATCACTAAATATCAGCATTAGTATTCGTCTTAAAAATCCTGTATCATCGGTGTCTAGGAGATATTACATATCAACTAACTGAACTTCATCAAATCTTGTGAGTGTAGTTTATGCTTTGTGTGACATGGCACACTATGTTTATAATAAACCTTTTTTTGGCCAATAAAGCTACAGTAACTCTTTTTGGAGCTGAAAGAACTTAAACTAAAAAAAAAGACTTTAAAAAGAACCACATTATTTGTTTGCTTTTGGGATCTGAATTATGATTTTGGCCAGAAAGAAGTTACTTTCTCAGATTTAAGAAAAGAAGGAAGAACAGCTCCCTTGACTTGACTATGAATATACAAACAGTCAGTCTACAACTCACTCACCGATACAGTATATCTGCTAACAAAAGTCAAAAGTCTGAATTACTGCTGGATTAATTTTTTGGCCAGAAACAATCACTCCTCAGGGAATATTGAAATGAGCCTGCCAGGAAACCAGTGCAGACTCCAGGAAATGACTGTGAAATATAGCATGTTAATTTGCGAGCTTTACAAGTTCTGGTAGGTGAATTTAGAGCTGGGCTAGCTATTAGCTTTTGCCTTCCAGTTTTTACGCTAAGCTAAGATGAACAGCCTCATGCTGGAGCTTCATCTTCACTGCACAGGCATGAGAGTGGTATCAATCTTCTTGCCCAACTTGCTGCAGGAAAGTTAATAAACATATATCAGAAAACACTGATAAATATGAATTAATGGATTTCCTCCATCAGTAAAAAAAAGTCTGCCAGCTCATCTTTTGTATATTCCCCGAGTTACTGTTTGCTGATTTATCCTTAAGCAGTTAGAATTCATTGTGCACATCTGGTTCTTCTGTAAAGGCAAAGGGAACAATCTGCTATTTACTGGGAGCTGGACACAAATAGCCTGCTCTCCATCTTGTATGCAAAGCCCTTCAGGCCACACCCTATACTTTGTGGCAGACCTAAGTCACATTATATGCATTTATTCTAGGTTTATCCCTCCCCCTCCATCTCTTGATTTTTATTCACCACTCATGCAGACTTAAAACCCCTGTTTTTCATCTCTCCCTCCTACGTGGAATACGATTAGGGTTTGAGAACAAACAGCATTTGACTGGAAAAAAGTAAAACTGCATCTTCTCAACATTAGCATACTGATGTATCTTTTGGTACTTCTCAGATAAATGTCATTAAAAGTCTTCAAAGAGCTGCAATTTTAGCTTGCGAGTGATACATAGTCTCTAGAATTTGATCACAAGAGCTGGACCCCTCTGAATATATGGGGTAGTGCCTGAGCACTACTGAAATCATATTGCAACATATTAAGTGTCAGGAAAGACCAGGTCTCTGTGTGCATTACTGTGTTTGTGTGTTGCAGAGCTCAATGCAAGGTTTGTTAAAATGGTATGCTTGCCAGTGGTTGTTAAAATTCTTCCTGTGTGCCTGTGTGACTCTCTGTGTGTACATATATATGGATACATATGTGTGTGTGTGTATGTGTGTGTGTTTCCAGGCCAGGCAGCAGGACAGATGTATACCTACCCCGCTCGTTGCTGGAGAAAGAAGAGGCGACTCCACCCTCCCCTGGATCCCCAGCTCCGCCTGTGTGAGCTTCGACTAGGTGAGACAAACAGCACAGCCATGCAGTGAAAGTCAAGACCCACAGTTACGCAACGGAGCCTACTTTAATGCATTTTATTTTATTTATTCATGCCGTCACATAAATACATCTGTTTTATTTGTGGCCTCTGTGCTGCTGGGTATCTGCATGTAGCTATTGCGCACGCTTGCTGCCTGGCCATCTGGCTCGGGTTAGCTCGTCTCTCCTACCAGGTCTCCAGGTTCATTTTCTCCCTGGAATCAATGCCGCCTCTCTCTCTGTTCTGTGGCTATAGGCGCACATATGCATAGGCACACAAATAACCCCCCCCCCCCCCCCCCCCCCCACACACACAGACACATACACACACACACGACTCTTGCTGCCCGTTGTACCACAGAAGCACCCTAACTGGGCCTCTATAATCATTTGTCCATGAGGCATAACAATGTAAGTGAGTCCTATGAGGTGGAAGTGTGTTCTCTCTTATGAGTGTGTGCATCCATGCATGCATACAGAGTGTGTGTTATAACGGGTGGGTTGGGATTTTAGCAAAAGGAATGCCCCCATCAGGAACCTGTGAAGGAGGGGAATGAAGGCAAGTCTTTGTTTCTGCTTTTCTACTCTATTGTTTCCCCTCTCGCTGTCTTCCAGATGCAATCTAATACTCTGGAGCTTTCCGCTAAGAATGACTTGCTTTGCTTTCAAGATGAGGACAGAGAGTCCTTCTGATGAGGAAAAAAAACAACAAGAAAAAAACAAAAAAACAAAAGCTACAGCTAACCAGCTCATCAACCAACAAGCTTGCATAAAAACAGAAGAAATTAGAGAAGGTAACACTGTAGTTAAAGAGGCATGCAAAACTTTCGGACGCCGAGAGTAGAAGTGCAGAATTCTTGTCTTTTGTTTTTGAGATATCCTATTGTGTAGTTTGGACCAGATGTCTATCATAACAAAACAGAAGAATGTGAATTCTCCCCTCGTGGGCTTTTGCAAAATGCTTTATGTTTATTTAATGCTTCCTGAGCAGAGAGGTTTGTCTCTGTGAATACACAGAAGCCATGCCACATATGAATTCCTTGTTCTTGTAGAGTTTCGCTTTTCCTTTTTCACGTCCCAGCTCATGTTAGGGTTTCAGGAACCATTTTTCTGTCCTCTCAACTAGTCTTCTATATAGCAGGTTAAAACAAAACACATGAGATCTGTGTAGGAGCAGCAGAAGCCAAGATATCCTGACTGTGAAGTCACTATCAAAATCTCACAAAGCAACTCAGCAGCATCTTTCATCGGGACCACTTCTTTCAAACATCCAGAAACCTCTTTCTGTCACCTATTTTGATCCTCCAGAGGGAAAAAAGGTGTTGTGCAACTGCTTTCACAGGCTGAAGATGAGTAAACTGGACTTTACATGTGAAATTATTGATGCACACCTAAGAATTTAAATCTAGGCAACTTGTGCATGCATGTATTAAATGAGGCAATGTGTTCTTTAGCCCCAAAAAAGAAGGTAAAGACACGAATGAAGGACAATCTAGAGGAGGAAAGTGGGTTTCATGTACAGGAAGGAGGTTGTCAAAAGAGACCAAAGTAAAGGACAACATGTATGTGCTGGGGAGGGGAGGCAGAGGGGTGGTTGAATGAAGAAAACACAGAGGCAGTGCAAGCACAAAGTCATAGCATACAGAAAGACAAATGAGAGGAGGAGGAAGAGGAGGAGGGAAGACGCAGAGGTACAGAAGCTCTGTATTCAATAAGTGTCTTACATCCTCAGCAGCTGTGCTCGCTCCCTGCTTTTCTTATCATAGCCTTAGTTTCATTCGGCTCTCATCCTGGTATTAGAGATGAAAGGAGAGGACAAAGAGGCAGGGCTGCTGCAGCAAGTTCGTCTCTGTGGAAATGAACAGAGCAAAAGCAGGAACGATGAAGGAGATTAGATAGGGGGAGAAATAAAGAAGAATGAGATATATGAGAAATATTACAGGCTTAAAAGCAGTGAGTGTTTTTTAAAAATATATGTATTTGGCTAATTTCCTTCCCATAGCACGCTTGTCTTATCTTTTATTGATGTTGGATCTGGTAGCCTGCTTTTCATTATTCCCAAAGCTCCCTCCTTCCTCATAAAACCTCGTCCACCCCGATGATAATCATTAAACTCTGTCACCTACCATCTGTGCTAAATTACCACAACTGCACCTCACATAATAAAACGATAAATAAAATAAATGGACCAGACGACCTGTTAACGAATGACTTTGAGGCATTTAGGCAAAATGTAACTAAATACACGTGTAAGTAACCACAGAGCTTCTTTCTTCTTTCTTCTTCCTCTGTATTTATAGGAAGATATATTTACTTTTAAATGCCGTCACTCTATTTTTCTTTAATATCATCATTATATGATTTTATCTTACCAGCGGCAGCCTGGAGAGCACAGGCCGACATGAGCTGCATGGCTCACAGGCGACTTCTTATGGTGGAATATATGTTTTCAGTTTAGTAGCTTAATCTAGCATACTGCAATAAAAAATGTTTTTACATTTTTTACAGATAGATTTGAGCATCACTGTGGTTCTGTCAGGAGATTTATACTGTACAGTTGTACTTGTAAGTGTCGAGAAGCACGAGGTGCAGTGTGAAAGGATGCATTCACATAAGAGCTTTACTTATAGCAGCCTTACACCCCAAGTGCTCCTTTCTGCCTGACCACAGGTTAACAGCTTTTAGCCACTTTAGTACGAAATGCCGGGATGAAAAAGTGGGATTAAAACACACAGGTTGATGCACACTTGCCTTGCTATACACAGACACATACACATGCCACCTCAAGTGGTCTTTGTTTCCTTTTTGTCATTCCCTCCTTCGCCTTCTCTCTTCAGAAGCAGAACTGGCTCCAAAGCGTGAGGGGGCACCGGGGGAGGCCACAGCCCTGGAGGCCCTACTAAGGGGGGACAACCTGCTGGAGAAAAAAAACAACCTCAGTAAGGAAGATGAGACATTGCTAGAAATACAGGTATGGTTAATAAGATAAGGAAGATTAGTATATGTCACCAGTAGGGGTCCCTTTAACTTCATGTATGCGTCTCATTTGACATCTTATTTGGCCAATGCCCGAAGTCCACTCTTCTCTGAGGTGCAGCCAGTGTAAAGACATGGATTTTTTTTTTTCAATAAATCACAGCAGCATCTCAAGTTTTGTTTCTCCACCAACTTTCCCTGAAAATTGGCCAGGTAGATTTGATGTCTTCCTGCAACAAATGACAATGAAAACCCCCTGACAAGTAAATCAAACATTAACCAGGAGAATTGTAAATATGTCTGTATCTATATATTTCCAGCTTCCTGAGACCTAATGCTACCTCTGTCTAACCCCTGTCTTTCTGTTTGCGTTTGCACTCTGCAGAGAGTACTTGAGGCAGAGGAAAATGGGGATGGCTTCCATGACGATGAAGACTTTGAACTCGATACTCCGAAGAGAAAGAACAGAAACAGAGGCAAAGTGAGTGTCGAAAGCAAAAACAGGATTTATATATGACGGTGTGTGTTTTGAATTGTAATGCAATACAGAATACAATACAGAAAAATTGTCACATTAGTACAAAATCCAAATAAGTTAAGACTCAACACCACCATCAACCTGAAAGCAGAATACTTTACCAGCATTATAGGATACAGTAAGCTTTTTTTTTTAACTTGTGTTGGAGGAAATAAATGGATGATCACGAGTGTCTTGTGTATCCTTTCAGAACCGAGGCTCGAGCCGCAGAAGGGCAGAACCCGTTAACATCGAGGACCAGGATAAACCTTATGTCTGTGACAGTAAGGGCAAAGAAAACTTCATTCTTTGTACATGTACCATCCTGCAATCGGTGCGATTACAGTCACTGTGTTTTCTCAGAGCAGAGATACTGTGTTCTCCTGAGATCTGGCTGTTAAGAGAAAAAACACGTGTATCAATATATATATATATATATTTTAAAGCCCTCTCTCTGTTGCTAAGAGCAGTCCTCTGCAGCATGAAGAAAGAGTTTGCTGTTAATCCAGACCTGACCAGCATGCCACTTTCGTACTTGGACAGAATTCCTCAGTAATGGATTGCCGCGGGAATTGTGGCTAGAGATACTGACTGAGCCTCAGACAGATGAATTTCATCCTCGTTTTTGTGTCTTGTTCTGTCTTTCCGATATTGTTTGCTTTTGTGTCTTCTCTGTTCCAGATAGATACAAACAAAAGTATAACTCAAAAAAGGCTGAAGAAGGTATCTTAACCTGTCTCCATCTTGTCTTTCTAGGAGCTTCTTGAGCTGTCTTTATGAATGGCCTTTTTGCTAGTGGGCATTTGGCGTCCTTGACTGACTGAATGCTAATGCTCTGAATATGTGCAATGCTTTAATTGCTTTAAGGTAGTCTAGGCATCCCTGTGCAAGCACTGCATGATGCTAACAGTAAACCTAATGCCTCAATGCTTGCTTGTTGCAAAGCATGCGCCAACTGATGCTTAAACACCAGCTCATCTAAGGGGTGCATGCTTAATAGGTTTCTCTATAGCTGTGTGCGATTCTTAGATAAGTGTTTGCACTGGTTTGATTTATTTCTATATATTTGAAAATAGAATTGATTGGTTAATTGTTGTTAAGGCTGAAATAGCTGGATCAATAATGCACCAGAGAGCTGTGTAATGAGAAACGTCTATAATGGCTACAAGGCCAGTGTACCCATGTAAAAAATCCTAAATGAACATGAAAATATCATAACAAGTCTAGGTCAGCGTTAAAAGTTTCAATAAACTTGCTTATAAAATACTTCTATGTATATATAGAAATATAAATAAATGAGATGATTTTTCTTTTAAGTCTTTGTCTTTCTTTTAACTTTGCTATAGTTCCACTTATTTACCTTAGGAAACATTTTCTTAGCAACAAATAGTTGTAGTTATTTCGCAGATAGAGGTTCCGCCTTACCGTCTTCCACTGACTCTCTAGGTGTTCACAGCAACTAACTTAGACCAGTGTCATACACTGATGTTTTCACCTGACAGTGTGCAGTTTTCATGGTTTTAACTTTCCTGTGATCTAAAAAAAAAAATCTGTAGTGTGTGGAAAGCGCTACAAGAACCGGCCTGGCTTGAGCTACCATTACACACACACTCACCTGGCAGAGGAGGAGGGAGAAGAGGAGAAGGAACCAGAGATGGCTCCGTCTTCTCCTCAGAGTTCAGAGAACCATAAACGTAAGTTGCTGGCTGGTATTTAATCATACTGATTAACGGGATATTTCCAGGTCACAAAAACTTGCACTTACTTACGAAAGCTCAGACTGAATGGAAGCTCGTGGACCATTCCCCTTATTTCTCCTGCTAACAGCTCAAAAGGGCCCTGATGGTGCTGTTATCCCCAACGACTACTGTGACTTCTGCCTGGGAGACCAGGACTCCAACAGGAAAACAGGACAAGCAGAGGAGCTGGTGTCCTGCTCTGACTGCGGACGTTCTGGTGAGTCCTCACTTACTGGTCATAGATGGTTTATGTGAAAACCTGAGATTTTGTATTTGCCTAAGCACTAATTGATTGAATTGCAATAGTTATATAATCCCTCCAGTAGACTTAGTAGAAAAAAGTGAATGCCATATTAGTGATTTCAGTAGGACAGCAAGAAGGCGTACTAAGAATGTGCCCATTCACTTTTCTGCCAAGAGTGACATGAAAGTATTGATACAACTCATGTGTCTGTTCATATACAGTTTGCACCATCTAAGCTTAACACTAAGTTAATGGGGACCATTTGTGCTCATTTCCAGCTGTATATTTTTATTCATTGTCTGTACTAAAGTAGCTTTGTATCATTCGTATTTCAGAATGAAAATTGTTATCAAACACTGGGCCTTTATGCCACCTCTTAGTTCATCCTCTGCCTGAAACAACCCACATTATTCCTTTTACGACCATCGTTCCTTTAAGCCAACTTTCTTCCAGTTGGCTTGTGTTTTGTAACCTGAAGGTTTCAGCAACTTGTGGGAATGGCTACTGTGCTCACAGCCAGATTTGTGTGCCTGCTAATAAAGTTTCTAACGAATGTACGTAACTCTAAAAAAACTCTGTACGTATGTGACAACAACAGCTCAGTAACTGGAGTTTAACTGGCTTTCCTAGTTGTTTTCCAACTTTGTTCCCACTGACTTAAGTGGAAAGACAATAAAATTTCTCAAGTGGAAACTATTTTTTTTTATTAGTTAAGCGTAAATACTGAAGTATGAGATTTGATACCATGCATAAGGTTAGGTTTTATGCATCTATTACATGGTGTCCCTGGTGGGTGATGAGCACTTGCTTCACCCCCTGAAAGTCCCATCTGTTCCAGCTTTGCCATTACTGTCCTCCACCTGGTGGTCTTAAGCCTGCCCCCCTCTCCATAAGCTTAGGCTGCCCATGTGCTGTTACCTTGCCATGGAGGGTAGGCATGAGCACTTGAAGCTATATTGTTGGGAGGGTTTAACCCTGGCAAGGCATGGCAAAAACAGCACATGACCCTTTGTGTTTGGGGCTAGGCATCGGCTAACACCTCCATCTCATAAAAACTCCAGCAAGTTACAGAAACTTTCATGAGAACACAGTACACTTAGGTTAGCTTAGTCCAATTTAAAAGGAACAGTTAGCCTCGTTTGGTTCAGAGATAACAAAATCTCCTTTTTGGTTTTTAAACAGATTTAAAAAACAAAACAAAATGTGAACTTTAGGTGTGCTGGTAAGTTGTTGTTACCTCATGAAAGAGCCTGTAACCCCACCGCTCCTGCCCGTTCTACATTTTTATGCTAAGCTAAGCTAACTGCCCTCTAGCTGTGTGTGAGTTGTATCAATCACTTCATTGATCAGAAATGTGTTGTCTGCTAGACTCATACTTTACTTTAAGTCTTACTACACATCTCATTTTTGTTTCTCTTTACTTCCTTTTTGTCCACGATCTTGTTCATGTGTATCTCTCGCTTTCTTGCGATGTTTATCTTTGCCACACGGATTTAAATTGTGTTTCTCTATCGGCCACAGATGTGATGCAGTTTAAAAGTTTGCATCAAATATAAAGGAATAAATTACACACATATATTTAGGAGGGAGATGAGGGGAGGTACATGTTGTTACCCAGTTTAATGTAGTCCTTCTATATTTCAGAACAAGTTCCCCAAAAATTCAAACAAATCTGTACCTTCAGGTGATAATGTAGATTTAGATGCTTTTGGTGTGCAATAAAAGCTTTCAAGTGTCTCTTCAATGGGGTTGTCAATGAGCCTTTCAGATCATAAGAACTGAGAGCCAACCACAGGAAAGAATCATACGAATTTGCAGAATCTGCCGCTTGCTTCCATCCTGCATGCTTCTCCATGTCAGCCTCGTTCATCAGTAAAGACCTCTGCCTTTAGACAACATGCTTTCACTCTTTTGTTGCTCAGTTTTCATGCATTATCCTTTGGCACATGTGGCTGCATTTTTCCCCCTTTTTTCCCCCCGTTTTGTTTCCCACACTAGCCGAAAACGGCATCTGCTGGATATCTCAGCAAAAAACCTTTGGTTGAATCATTTCAGCAAGCAAGATGTTGTCTTACTACGGTAGAGTGTGCTAGAACAACTGGGAGACTGTGTGGCCTTGTCTGTGTTGCTCTGATGCTGATGTTTTCATGGTAGCTGGAAGAGGAGGAGCGAAGAAGGATGGGAGGAAGCGGAGCACTCTCGAAGAATTGTTCGGCAGCGCGTCAGACAGCGAGGCCTCCACGTTTCATGGCTTTGAAGATGCAGAGCTGGAAGATATTTCGTTCTCAGACAGTGATGTAGTTGCTGACAGCTAATAATGGGACAACTTGACTAGCTGAGCCTTCTGCCATTAAAGTTTTAATTGAGGGAACAATGAAAGACTCATGAGGCACATAATGGACCGCAGAAAACCACAGTGAAGACATTTCTGGAAAGTGTCTTGGAAAGGATGCAGGATATATATTCACATATGCTTCTGCTTGGGAATTTGTTTCTCATGGACACACTAACATATATTTTTTTACCATCCTCGTGGATTTTTCAACAGTTGAGCCATTTTCCATTTTTCATAAACAAAAAAATAAATAAATAAAAATGTCCTTACATTTGACTTTGCTTGCATCAGATAATCAATATAACAAACTATACATCTTTGCTACATGCCACTTAAATCTGGACCAAAAACGTTGATAGCGCTGTGGACTACGGACTAAGGAATTAAAAACATGACTTTTCCATGGTAAAATGAACACGTGACATGGGGGAGGGAGGCACTTGGACTCTCAAGTCACTCCACTAGCTAAAGAGGACAGTGAGCAGCGAGGTAAGAGCCAGTCACCACTCCATTATCCATTTAAGCCAACAGGATGTCTGTTAAAAGTGTCTCAGCGGATTTCTTCTCAACTGCAATTCCTTAGAGTAATTTGTGAGGACGGCAGTAACTCAAATATCTACACAGGTCACATTCCTTGTTATTTTACCCATGAGGCTTAGAGGGATCAGTGCGATCAGTGTTTTGGGCTTCTTTCCCAGTCCAGATATATGTCAGTTCACCCTTGCATATGGCTCATTGATACCCCATTGACACCAGTGTACTTATGACTGTCCTCTCATAACTGTGATGATGTGGGCAGGCTACAAAAAACAATGTTATTAAGGCAGGCAACAAGAGGACCACTTTACATATTTCTTTTTGTGTTGTCATGGTTGTAGTTTTACCAGAAGAGGATAAAATATGTCTCGGCTGTGTTTAACTGTGCACACATGATTCCATGTGTTTTGTTTTCATGTCATATAATCACTTGCTGTATACACTGTCAACACTGTCATAGAAGACAAAGACAGAGAAACACGCAGCCATCTGGGTGAAGAGTCAAATCCTTTTTTTGTGTGTGAACTAGATCACATTAGAGGAAATATTTCACAATGTTAGCCAAGTCATTTTATATATATATAGCACATTTAAACACAGCAGACATTGGTCAATGTGCTACACAGCAAGCAGCTAAAACGAAATGTAACGCATTTGGATGAACTAAAAACAATTTAAAGGCAAATGAAATGAAAGTTAAAACATAAAAAGCAAAACCACCTGGAGAGCGGCAAAAGGACACACACTGGCCACTTTATTAGGTACACCTGGTCAACAACCCGGTCCAATATGTAAATGATAAAGGTTTTTATATAGGGATTTTCTAATCTACCTGAGTAGAGCAGAAACAACAACATGCTTTTCTATCTAACATTCATACTCTGTTGGATGCTTCAGAGAGCAACTCTGGGTTCATTATTTTGTCCAATTTGGCATGCAGACTGGAGCAGCCGGGAATCAAACCAAAAACCCTCCAATTAGTGGATGACTTGCTCTACCTGCTGAGCTACAGCCACTCCATTAACGTAGACAACACAACCAGCTAAAGTTCAGGAAGACAGGGGATTAAAGTGATCTTGAATGCGCCATGTTTGCTGGTGCCAAACATGGTGCATGGTGGGTATTTCAGAAAGTGCTGATCCACTGGGATTTTCCCACACAGCCGTCCTAGCCATCACACAAAGCATCAAACCATGAAACAGACAGATTACAACAGCAGAAGACCACACCAGGTGTTACTTCTGTCAGCTAAGAACAGGAGAGTTAGGGTAGAATTTACATGACTTTACCAAAATTGGAAAACAGAACCATTGAAAGAAACGCTGCCTGGTCTGATGAGTTGAATTCTGCTTGGACATTCAAATGGGATACTTTGGTCCCCTTAGTACAGTTGCCATCTTATTGCCAAACATGTTCATGCTTTTAAGACCACAGTGTACCCATCTACTGATCCAGAAGGATAATGTGCTGTCACAAATTGCTAATCAGTGATCGGAGTTTGTTTGAACATGACAATGAACTCACTGGCCTTCACAATCACCAGACAGATGGCCAGTGTTAAAATTAATTCAAAACACGTAACTGTTACTGGGCAAAGCTGCTAGGTGAGTCACAAAATAAGAGAATAAGAATATAAAGCTAGAAATCAGTTTAACAGATCCACTTTAAAATCACTCCAAAACAGTTTGTAAACTTTTTTTCGGCAATCCACTTCTCCTGCCCCTGCTTCCCTTTGTCTTTGTCTCATCGTCCCGACACAGGTCATCCGACATGTCTGCAGTTCACTGAGAACATGATGCAGGCCGTCAGGACATACCAGTGGCAGTGCATCGAGTGCAAGTCCTGCAGCCTCTGTGGCACCTCAGAAAATGATGTATGTATCACAGAGGAAAACCTTGTGCCAACCTTTGTGTCTCCAGAAATGTCGGCTCTCACTTTGAATTGGCTGTGAAGCTGTGGAATGACCTTTCACCAGCTTGTGTGCAGCCTATCAGAGAAATAATACATATTAAATTATCTGTGTGTAGATATAGAATTATATGGAGCCAAGTACGCAAAAAAATGTGAAAGTCTGTAAAAATTAATTAAGATTTTAATTTTATATGCAATGTGCAACCAGCAAGCCCCTGTTTTATAATGTATTGTATAAAATAATGACAGTGACTGTGTGTTCATGCAGGACCAGCTGCTGTTCTGCGATGACTGTGACAGAGGATACCACATGTACTGCCTGAAGCCACCGATGACCCAGCCTCCTGAAGGTACCGCAGTCGAAAGCCACTCTGACAGCTTTTAGTGTACATCAGTGGTGCTATATTATTATATTATATGTTTGAAAGCTGCTACAGGCAAAGTCTATATATGGAAAAGATTTCAACCTTTCCTTCTCTCCTCTCTGTACAGGAAGCTGGAGCTGTCACTTGTGTTTGGACTTGTTAAAAGACAAGGCCTCAGCCTATGGAGAAGCATAAAGGACACACATTTTTTAAAGCACATGTAAACACAATATATATATATTTGTACAGATGCACTTACTGTTTGACATATACTTTCTCCCAGATACAACCCAACACACACACACACACACACACACAATACCCACAGATACACACTCCGGTGCATTAGCAGGCTCAGGGCTTAGTTTCCCGTGTGAGGCTCAGAGATCCTCTACCTCTCATAAAGCCAAGCAACACTCACAGATGCAAATGCCATACGGCATCTTAAGCGTAAGTCAGCTAACAGCAGATCTGCTGTTCCCTCGTTTCTCTACCTCACCTCTCAGCAGACAGCAAAAAGCAAAAGCAAGATTGATAATGGCCAATACGGTGTAGAACATGTGCATGTGAAGTACACGTTTATTTTAACTGCATTTCTGCATGTTTTCCCCCCTGATTTGGATTTATTTGAGTATGATTTGGAAGGTGTTTCTCCTAAAGTATTTGCTGAAGCTGCATCACTTCCTTCCCTTGTAGCTTAAGTTCTCCAGTGGGGGAACCTTGAGTGAGTTTGACTAATGTTTGTTTAGATTTCTCCTTCCAGCTCTACTCCTCTGCTATGTTTAGACTTTACAGTGACATTCCCACTTTACATCTGGACAGACTCAGTATTAGTTATGCCATCTTTCACAGGTTTTGTCAAGCTTGGTGAAATTTATATCCTGCGTTAAGAGGAAATGGGGCGATAAAACAGCCTCCACTATCATTCCCTTTGGAGCGTAGTGACTTTATAGCCACGTCTGTTTTTCTGTATTCGTTCAGTTACCAGGATACTGTGGTGCTCAGTAGGACACCTTACTAATGGTGAAATACTTTAAAAAGTAGAATTAAAAAATTATTCATCTAAATTTCATCTGTAAATCTGTGGTTCCCAAACCTTTTCTATCACCTACTTCCCAGCCAAATTATAGACTGATTGCATTTTATTAAATAAATACCTGAAATTTCTCATTAAAAATAAAATTTTACATCTTCAGTGAGCTAAGAATACAACTTCATACTTTATTTGACTGACATGTCAATGAGCCAGAGCTACAGGTTTTCTTCTCAGTAAATTTTGACATTAACCTGAATATCGTTAGCCTTGCTAGCATCAGAGCGCACTTTTGTTCTTTAAACAATTCCTTATTAATCCTTCTGTTTTTTATAGTTAATTTGAAGGGAACGCTTGCAGTGGTAGATTCACATATCACAGTTTAAACAATTTATTTTCCTACACTTTTGCTGAATTTGGTTTTTGTCTGAAAAAATAACTTCACTAGCAGCTGCTGCTAGCCAGCTATTTCATGCTAACTCCATGAGTTGATTGAACGTTTTAAGCTATTCAGCCCACTCATTTTAAAAGAAAAAACACCAAAAAAAGGGTTTAATCAATACCATCATGCCTACAAAGCCACAACTAAAACACTGAAGCTAAGCTATCAATTTATTTTGACATAGAAGGTAAATGGATATGTTACTAATGACAATAATGAACATCTTCTATTTAGGAGCAAGGCTTAATTAAAAATGATTTCTGTGAAAAAGGTTCAATAACTAGCATTGTGATTTAAGCCTCTAACCATACATCATATCTTTAATTGGAGATTGATTATAACTCTTCATCAGACAGCAATCCAATCCATTTCTTATTATACTCAAGTCTTTCAGTGTTGCCTGTCCGGTTAAGTGCTTAGAAGTCCAATGCTGTGGACTGGTCAGCAGTAAGTAGTTGCTCTTTCTAAGCTTTGATGGAACAGCCTTTATTTTTTGAAAAATGTTCAGCTTTTATTGTTTCACTCTAACTACCCATACATACACAGGTATTTTGATAAACATAGCCTTTTCTATGCATTTTGACCTTTCATCCAAGGTACTGAAAATGGGAGCTTCGTCCAGGGTGAAGATTTTCAAAAAGTCACGTTTCTTAGTTTTTTTCCAGATTTTGTCCACTCTTATCATCTTTTTTTTTATATCAGACTTTGCTTTCTGCTAGTTTTTTTAGGCTCCATATTGTCTAACATTTCTATAAGGTCAGGTTTATACCATCACCTGTTGCTTTGGCAGCATGCTCTTTCATTTGGGTGAAGACATCTTTCAAAATGAACATCCATATAGAGGGCCTTTCCAACAGTTTGGGAACCACTCGTGTAAATTTTCCAATGCAACGTGTTTATAATGAAACCTTCATACATTATTATCTCTCAAGGAAGCAGCATATACTGTTGTGTCCTGTGTTTTGTATGCAGTTAAAAACAGAATATATTCTGGGAGTGCTGCATTTGTACAGCTGTGTGAATAAGGTTAATGTTTACTTGGTTCCATGTTAGACTGAGCACTAAAATCTGTGAAAACTGTTTATATTATGAAAAAAAGTTGACTCTCAAAAACGAAACACCTCAAGAGAAGAAATGAGAAAAAGAGAAAATGATCCTCAAAGTACACATAGTGTGCTTCTCCTGACAGGATATCACATTTTGCATTTGTGTTTTGTGTTATTATGTGTTTGTATTTGATAACACGTTTCCACTGACAATCATGAGGTAGCATAGACACATTATTAACACACTGAGGGTTTCACTGTGCTTTTCTCTGGTGAGTTTTCAATATCATTTGCGTCTTCCTTACACAAATGTCATGTACGGTGTTTTTGGGTGGGGAAGAGGGGGTGATGCCATCAACTACAGTGATCCAAATGTGTGATGTTTTGTTAAAATAAATGTTTCATTATTGTGTTAAAATAAAGAGCTTGATTCTTGTTTGCTTGTATATTAAGCATATAATGAAAATAGCCCGGTCAGTAGCAGACATGTTTCCAATTTCTCCTGTGGGAATACTCTCTCATTCCAGTGAACTGTTTTACATAAACTGACAATTAGACATTGAAGTACTAGCCAAGATGACTGTGTCTAATATGAACATGTCCTCCCCATCACATACTGCTGCTTTCCTGTCTCTCACCCTCTGTGTATGAATACTCTACGGTGAGCAGTGACAGAAGAATAAACTCATTTTCCAGTAGTATCAAATGAATGCTCACCTTATGAAATCACTTTCCACTCTCATCAATGATTATATTATATAGATAGATAGTCATATATTATAGATCCGTATAGTCATTGCTAGAAATCTTACTTGGTAGTATTTACATTTTTTTTACCACTAGGTACCAGTATTGGTCTGGAGTTGAACTCTGGATTTACGCTGCAGTAGACTACTCATTGTTGAATTCATGGAACACTTATTTCTTTAGATTTAGGCATAGGTCAAAATCATTGAGAATTTGTTTTAAATGAGATCAGATCGTGAGATCATGCTTGAGCTAAACTATAAACCCATCTAGCAGAGCTTTTTTTTTTTTTTTTTTTTAAATCATATCCTTAATTAAGTAGTAGAAGTAGCTGTACTACAGTGGAAACATATTGCTGGAAAATAATTATTTGTGGAAAAAAACTTAAAAAAACAAATCTGTGAGACACATTTTAGAACACTAGTTGAACTGGAGCCAAGAAATTACTTTAATGTACTGCCAAGTATACACCACAGATAAGTGCAACAAGTTGACCTTAAAAGCCAGTGACAAAACAACTTTGTTTAATGGACAAAAATGTCCATTAAACAGGAGAAAAAATAATAATTTCAGGAGAAAAAATTAATACCGTTATGTATTTATCTTGTGTGTTTGACTCAGCAGCTTGTAGTCATCTCAGAGATGATGGACAGGAAAGTGCTTGTAGCAAAGCTGGGATTCAGGAGGAGCTGCTCCAGCACCTGTGCACCTTTTTGCCTTGTGTTTACTGAACACATGGCACCTTTCCACAGACGCACCAATGTCCCACCTGGTAGATCATCATCATGAGCATAACTTAAAATAAAATCTTAGCAATAATATTTTGTGTTTGCTTGTGTGCGTGTGTGTGTGTCCTACCAAGCAGACTGTCAATAGTCTTCATCCAGCTGAAGATATACAGTGTGTGGTTCTCCTCTGCAGTCAGATCAGCAATGTTAGGGGCGCTGTCGCCCTCCTAAAATGATAAGACAGAATGGAGAATGGACAAAAGCCTTCTCTCACTTTGTGTGTTTCAGAAAAAAAGAAGTGATGTGTAAAATAAACAGATGGAAAAGGTTGAAGATATGTACCTGTAAAATCCGACTTGGCAGAGGGGTTAGGAAAAGCACTGCTTTTTCCATGTTGGTCTGGAATCGAGCTGCTGCTACATATTCTGCTGAGTTCAGCCAGCTGTGAGCAAATGACACTTCTACAGAGGAATAGTGGCTCTGCCTGTAGGAGAAGCGAGAACACAGAAGCTGAGATTAAGAGAGCTGAAATTTGAGATAAATGTTTGGCTTTTTTGACCACTTGCAGGGAAAAACAGCAAGGCCTCGTCCTTGGTAGTTTTGGTGTGCACTGAACTACCAAAAATAGTTCAGTGGACAAATTTTTTTTTGTTTATAAACATTTATAAATAATAAGGATAGTGATCACTTTTGCTTTAATACTTTTTCCAGCATCATTAGTATTGGTAATAAGGGCATTGATGTTAAAATTTGTGCTGGAAAGAGTACTGACACTGCTAAAACTAACAAGACTGCCAGAAAAAAAAAAGATGAAGTAGATTTAGTCAATGTCATTGTCATGTATGAATGTGTGTGTACATGATTTGTAATATGTAAAAACAGGATGGGTGACTGGGGGAGGAGGGTATGTGTAAATGTTTACTAATGAAATGCATTAAAATGATAGATTTTATGATAGATAAAAATAGATACTTTATTGATCTAACAAGGGATGTTGTGTTACAGCAGCAGAATAAAAAATGAAAATGATATAGTCTACAATTAATAAGCAACATGGTTACAGTAAAAGTAAAAGAAATTACCTGGGATTACATGCTGCAGAGGCATAGGTTGAAGCCATTTGGGCGTCCCAGTAGACACCAAGGATAGTGTCTTTCTTCACATCATCAGGCAGAAGAGATTCACTAGTAGTCTTCAGACCCTTAAAACAATATGAACAATTAAAGGAGTACACCTATTTCAGCAATGTAGCTTTGTTGCTTCATAAAGCGGGTGCATTCAGGGAAAACAGACCCGTTTTGAACTATAATGGCACATGGCCCTGACTTTTTAAAATGTAATGTTTTCTACTAAGGGCAAAATAATACAAGTTCAGTTCCCCTTTAAAATTGCGGGATAATATGATGTGAATAGAAACTGTGTGTATATGTACCAGTGTATATCTGTGTTTCAATACCTGAAAAAAAGCATCCCACTTAGACATGGCATCAGGGTATTTAGCTTTACAGTCAGCATAAGTTGTACAATAGTCCTGTACTCCTGCAGGCACCTGCATCTGGACCTGGTAATGTAATAACATACATGATAATATGCACTATATAACATACATTATAAATAATACAAAATGGTCATATTCATTATTATTTAAACTGCAAATATTTGTGTGATGGCATGAAAAAGTGTCCTCTTCTTCTTCTTCTTCTTATTATTATTATTATTATTGCGGTTGTTGTTGTTGTTGTTTTATTTTCAAAGTGTTCATTTTCAGTTTAAGATAATACCTGAGCTCCTGCTCCCATGAAGCCCTGTTGTGCAGCAGACAGAAAGGAAAGTACAGATGCAAAATAGTTCACACCTGGAGAAACATAAAGAGGTCATTTGTATTCCCCCTGTGTTTATTTTTTATGCATTTGTTTCTTGTACTTACAGGCCCACCAACTCTGGGTAGAAATGCACAAAGGCTCTGCTTCCAGGCCACAAGTTGTTGCACCCGTTGGATCAGCGAGACGCCCTGTAAAAACAACAGATCATTAGCTGTGGTCTTGTTTCTTTGTTAGTTACATTATTAGGAGGCTCTTTATTCAGTTTTGTACTACAAAGTTTGTTAAATTGTGATGAAAGGATTATTATTGACTTAAAAAAAAAAAAAGAAATGATACTTTGACTTCACCTGAAGTTAACATCCATCCAAGCTGCAGTGGCAGTCCCCACAGCGGACTGTCAGTAGCATTTGTCCCCATGGATCCCATGAAGGGGTCTGTAGCAGCTATCATCAGCCGGTATAAACTCATGCGGTGAAGGTAGTTCCAGGAGTCTGGAACCAGAATCCCATCGTGCATTGGCAACTCAGTCACTTGGCTGGCCGTTTGTGCCCAAAGGATGGGAGCGCCATTTTCTAGAATTACTGCAGAGCTGCTGAGAGACACTGCACATGCCAGGACAAGGCCAAGGACCAGCAAACGAAGCATGACTGAGGTGTTGGGTCTGCAGAGAAGGACAGAGTCAAGAGCAGCTACTCTGGACTGAGAGTTTTCCCTTAAATACAGCATTTGTAACTTCTCTGAATATCAAAGTCAGTGCATGCAGATGTGCACCAATCACATTAGTCCATGTGACATATGGCTCACTGGACCCTGACCAACAGATAAGAGAATTTAAGTACATAGAGCTCAATTTTGTCCAAACATAGAATACTGAGTTCAGTGCAAAGTACATCTGTTCATCGTTCAAGCTGATTTGTTTACATGAACACAAATCCACAACTTTTATAGTGATACAGTGATACCATCAGTAAATTGAATCTGGAAACACAAACCCCAAATAAATTCTAAGAATCCTTGGAAAAATTATACAGATTTTTACCCCCTTAAGTAGCCAAAGATAATACTTTTTATCTGGAAAAACTCATAAAATTTACTTTCACATACACTCACCGAAGACTTCATTAGTTACACCTTGCTCGCACCAGGTTGGGCCCCCTTTTCTCATCAGAACTGCCTTAATTCTTTGTGTCACACACTCAACAAGGTGCTGACCATAGCCTTAGTTTTATGTTCTTGGCTGATAGGAGTGGCATCCAGCGTGCTGCTGGAGCCCATCTGCTTCAAGGTTCAGTGGTTATTTGAGATACTGTTGCCTTACTATAATCTTGAAGCAGTCTTTTTTCTCTTTTTTGGACCTTTCTTTGGAAACCCTAGAGATGGCTGAGTGGGGAAATTCCTAAAAGAGCCAGACCAGCCCACAACAACCAACACCTTTAAAGCCACTATAACCTTTCATCCCCATTCTGATCCTCAGTTTGAACTTCATTAGGTTATCTTGGCCTTGGCTATGTGCCTGGACATTTAGATATGGTCTACATGTCTATGCATGTAGTTGCAGCCATGAGATTGGCTGATTAGAGAATCACCTTAAGAATCAGTCAAACCAGTGCACCTAACAAAGTGCAGTATACTCCAGTGAGTCTGTACTGGATACAGAAGTTAAGACTGTTATTGATTTGGTTAATCTGAGTGAACTTTGATGTGCCTGATGCGTCTGGTAAACAGAACATGTCTCGTAGCTTTATGTAACATCATAATGTGTTTTGTAAAATTACCACGGAGTAATTACCAATTACCATGGAGTAAACACCAAGAACCAAATTATAACTACAATTTTAAAAAGTTGAGGTGGTGTTAGCAAGTGAACTGTTAGGTAATACTATTTAATCCAGATTCTGCATTATTCTGAAAGCAAAGCCAATTTTATATGTAAAGTAGGGTAACAAATTAAAAAGAAATATCTTTCAGCAATATGGTGGCATGTATGTATAAATGGCCTGTATTTGTATAGCGCTTTACTAGTCCCTAAGGACCCCAAAGCGCTTTACACATCCAGTCATCCACACATTCACACATACATTCACACACTGGTGATGGCAAGCTACATTGTAGCCACAGCCACCCTGGGGCGCACTGACAAAGGTGAGGCTGCCGGACACTGGCGCCACCGGGCTCTCTGACCACCACCAGTAGGCAACGAGTGAAGTGTCTTGCCCAAGGACACAACGACCGAGACTGTCCAAGCTGGGGCTTGAACCGGCAATCTAGCACATATAAACCACAGAAGGTGAACCAAAGCACTTTAGAGACTGACACATTTACATTACATCCATCATTTGTACACAGTTCAGTTCTGGCCCATTAATGCATGAACATGAGCCCTTTGGTCTTGTTGGTGTGTCCACCGTGGATGATCTATTCTGGCTCCTTCGTGAATGTTCAGGTTGGGATCTGAGGAGTTTGATTTATGCAAATTAAGTGTCCAGAGCAGCTTTGTGGAGTGGCAAGATGCGCTGTCCTGCAATAGGAGGATGCTGCCATTGGAGGGTGCTAGTGAAATATTTGGTGGATAGACACCTGTAAAAGTAACATTCACAAGAATTTTAAAATACAAGGTTTTCCATGAAAACGCTGCATTGCAAAGAGATAATGAATGTATTCATTTCACCTGTCAGTTGTTTGTTTTTGTTGTGGTTAATCAGTTATGACCCATGTTAGCTGCAGGACCACTGTTTCTTTCCCCACCTTCAAGGACATTTCCCACAAACTCTGTATTCACAAAGCCA